TGACAAGCACCAGCGATAAATCTTTCCTTGAATGATAGATTTGGAAGAAATGTGATTTTATTATTAATTTTCTACATATAACTGTGGTTGCAGATGTTCACCTCCATGAAGCTATTACTGTGAAAATTATGAAGAGTTTTGTCCTAATTGTTGGATTAATTCGTGTGGTTTTTTCCTCGGAACTACCACATGGCTTTCTAATCTTGATGGGCAATTAATTATTGCTGAATATTAATTTGTAAACTGAAATTAATAAAACAGATATTAAACTCAGAGCATATACACAAAGATATACACTTCTAGGTGTATATAGACATGTACGTATATATACATGTATATGTCTGCTTAGGAGGAGCTGCAGGAGATTCATAATCTTTGATATATTCATGTTTTTTTTTAGTCAGTTTATTCTGTCTATAAATAAAGTTCACATAAAATATAGAAAATAAGGGGTGGTAAAAGAAGAAAATATTCCAACAGCTCAGGGGAGCACCTTGAGTTTTCCCTGAAGTACGTTTATTCGCTTCTCTGAATATGAGGGTCCCCAGTCCAGTTCTAGAGCTGCTACCTTCATATATATATGTGTGTATATATATATATATATATATATATATATATATATATATATATATATATATATATATATTATATATATATATATATAACCAAAGTAGATGAGGTAAACATAAATATTATGCAAAATTAGGGTGGTAGCCTGCCCCGGGTCTCTGGAAAATGCTATCTCCTCCTCCTCTTCCTCCTCCTCCTCCTCTTCTTCCTCCTCCTCCTCTTCTTCCTCCTCCTCCTCCTCATTCTTCTTCCTCCTCCTCCTCTTCTTCCTCCTCCTCCTCCTCATTCTTCTTCCTCCTCCTCCCTCCTCCTCCTCCTCCTCCTCCTCCGTGGCATCTTAAAGACGGCTCCATTACGTGTCTTGGCCTTCATATTTGTCAGCCATTGTGGAGGAAGGCTTCGCAGCTTGTAAACATTATTCACACTAAAATGGGCCTTTCGGAGCACTGGAAAACATTATGTAAATTTTGTATACACATTCTCTGCGTTCTGTAGACAAGCGAAGCAGGAGTACGAATGTCTGCTCTTTTCTGTGCTAGAGATAGAGAGAGAGAGAAAGAAAAAGAGAGAGGGAGGGAGGGAGGGGGGTTGACGCGATAAAGAGGGGAGAACATAAACTAGGAATGTGGAAAGAAGGGGTGAGAGCAAAGGAGAGAGAAAGCAATGAAAGGTTATTATTAATAATTATAATACTATTATTATTGTATGAAACGGTAAACCTGCATGGGTCATTCGGTGCAATGACTTGTGGAGGTTCGATTCTCTGTCCAACAATAACGAACTACTCTCGCAGCCAGACTTTCAAGAACAAAGTTTGGACACTATAGGTCATTTTTTTTATTTCATCTCAAACACTGGGCAGGAAAAAAGTAAGCAGATCTCTCCAGAACGTTTAAGAGAACATTGTAAGTTCAACTGTCAAGCTGAGAGTGAATATTGAATATTTAAGAGAACAAGGTACGTTCAGCTGTGAAGCTGAACGTACCAGGAGCAAACACTGATTTGATGTTTTTTTTTTATTTCGAATTTGAATTCATGTCATCTTTTTCAAGATAATTAGTTTTTGAAATGGTATAATAATTTTGCCCAGCCTCCAAATTTGAATAGTTATCTATAGAAATATCTTCAGATGTATAGATATCTTGAGAAATCTAGTCAAAGATTATCTTACGATCATATTAAATTAGTTGGAAGCTACTGTACATATCGACAACTCGGGAGCTGCGGGCCTGATATGAGACCTTTTTTTGCTAATATCCTTCAGTGTGTTCCTTGAACATGACTGTTAAATCCAGAACGTAAACAACACAGTTATTACGCCCTTATATTTTACTTGATTCATTTTGCACTTACTTTTCCCTCCACACACCGTTAACCTACTGTAGCGATGTTTGGCCTATTTGACTTAAGAGTTTTCTTGTGACTATGATAATCAACTGATTAAAGAGTTTAGTTACACGGTGTTTTACAGCATCTCGGGAAATAGTTTAGAGTGAGCTTACAATTATGCAAGATTTCTTGTTTATTTAACTCATCGGCCCTTTGTTACAAGGTGCGGAGACCCCAAGAAGGAAACTTAATAATCATCATTCATTTAACAGCTGAACATCACAGTTTAAGTTACTCTTTAGTCATTAATTATGATATACTCACTCATCCTTAAAGATGTGGACACTGTACTTCCCACCTCCAGAACTGCAACATCCTGATCCATCCTTGAAAATGCATAGACTGTATTTTTCACCTTGAGAGCTGCAACATCCAAGCCTATCCTTCCGAGTATAGGCACTGTACTTCCCACCTCCAGAATTCAAATTGTATCCAGATATTTTTTTTTTTTTATTATCACACTGGCCGATTCCCACCAAGGCAGGGTGGCCCGAAAAAGAAAAACTTTCACCATCATTCACTCCATCACTGTCTTGCCAGAAGGGTGCTTTACACTACAGTTTTTAAACTGCAACATTAACACCCCTCCTTCAGAGTGCAGGCACTGTACTTCCCATCTCCAGGACTCAAGTCCGGCCTGCCGGTTTCCCTGAACCCCTTCATAAATGTTACTTTGCTCACACTCCAACAGCACGTCAAGTATTAAAAACCATTTGTCTCCATTCACTCCTATCAAACACGCTCATGCATACCTGCTGGAAGTCCAAGCCCCTCGCACACAAAACCTCCTTTACCCCCTCTCTCCAACCTTTCCTAGGCCGACCCCTACCCCGTCTTCCTTCCGCTACAGACTGATACACTCTTGAAGTCATTCTGTTTCGCTCCATTCTCTCTACATGTCCGAACCACCTCAACAACCCTTCCTCAGCCCTCTGGACAACAGTTTTGGTAATCCCGCACCTCCTCCTAACTTCCAAACTACGAATTCTCTGCATTATATTCACACCACACATTGCCCTCAGACATGACATCTCCACTGCCTCCAGCCTTCTCCTCGCTGCAACATTCATCACCCATGCTTCACACCCATATAAGAGCGTTGGTAAAACTATACTCTCATACATTCCCCTCTTTGCCTCCAAGGACAAAGTTCTTTGTCTCCACAGACTCCTAAGTGCACCACTCACTCTTTTTCCCTCATCAATTCTATGATTCACCTCATCTTTCATAGACCCATCCGCTGACACGTCCACTCCCAAATATCTGAATACATTCACCTCCTCCATACTCTCTCCCTCCAATCTGATATTCAATCTTTCATCACCTAATCTTTTTGTTATCCTCATAACCTTACTCTTTCCTGTATTCACCTTTAATTTTCTTCTTTTGCACACCCTACCAAATTCATCCACCAATCTCTGCAACTTCTCTTCAGAATCTCCCAAGAGCACAGTGTCATCAGCAAAGAGCAGCTGTGACAACTCCCACTTTGTGTGTGATTCTTTATCTTTTAATCCACGCCCCTTGTCAAGACCCTCGCATTTACTTCTCTTACAACCCCATCTATAAATATATTAAACAACCACGGTGACATCACACATCCTTGTCTAAGGCCTACTTTTACTGGGAAATAATTTCCCTCTTTCCTACATACTCTAACTTGAGCCTCACTATCCTCGTAAAAACTCTTCACTGCTTTCAGTAACCTACCTCCTACACCATACACTTGCAACATCTGCCACATTGCCCCCCTATCCACCCTGTCATACGCCTTTTCCAAATCCATAAATGCCACAAAGACCTCTTTAGCCTTATCTAAATACTGTTCACTTATATGTTTCACTGTAAACACCTGGTCCACACACCCCCTACCTTTCCTAAAGCCTCCTTGTTCATCTGCTATCCTATTCTCCGTCTTACTCTTAATTCTTTCAATAATAACTCTACCATACACTTTACCAGGTATACTCAGCAGACTTATCCCCCTATAATTTTTGCACTCTCTTTTATCCCTTTGCCTTTATACAAAGGAACTATGCATGCTCTCTGCCAATCCCTAGGTACCTTACCCTCTTCCATACATTTATTAAATAATTGCACCAACCACTCCAAAACTATATCCCCACCTGCTTTTAACATTTCTATCTTTATCCCATCAATCCCGGCTGCCTTACCCCCTTTCATTTTACCTACTGCCTCACGAACTTCCCCCACACTCACAACTGGCTCTTCCTCACTCCTACAAGATGTTATTCCTCCTTGTCCTATACACGAAATCACAGCTTCCCTATCTTCATCAACATTTAACAATTCCTCAAAATATTCCCTCCATCTTCCCAATACCTCTAACTCTCCATTTAATAACTCTCCTCTCCTATTTTTAACTGACAAATCCATTTGTTCTCTAGGCTTTCTTAACTTGTTAATCTCACTCCAAAACTTTTTCTTATTTTCAACAAAATTTGTTGATAACATCTCACCCACTCTCTCATTTGCTCTCTCTTTACATTGCTTCACCACTCTCTTAACCTCTCTCTTTTTCTCCATATACTCTTCCCTCCTTGCATCACTTCTACTTTGTAAAAACTTCTCATATGCTAACTTTTTCTTCCACCAATCGCTCCTCTTCCCTCCCGCACCCACTTTCCTGTAACCACAAACTTCTGCTGAACACTCTAACACTACATTTTTAAACCTACCCCATACCTCTTCGACCCCATTGCCTATGCTCTCATTAGCCCATCTATCCTCCAATAGCTGTTTATATCTTACCCTAACTGCCTCCTCCTTTAGTTTATAAACCTTCACCTCTCTCTTCCCTGATGCTTCTATTCTCCTTGTATCCCATCTACCTTTTACTCTCAGTGTAGCTACAACTAGAAAGTGATCTATCTGTGGCCCCTCTATAAACATGTACATCCTGAAGTCTACTCAACAGTCTTTTATCTACCAATACATAATCCAACAAACTACTGTATCCAGATATATATTAATATATTTACTCTTGTAAATTATTAACCATGATAACTCCCTTCCCGCAGTCTTCAAACTCTCAGTGTCACCGCTATTCAATCTCTTCTCCGCGGCTCGGATCGTCACTGGCCCCTGTACTGCTTCTTCAGGGGACAATGGTACTTGTTACTCTTCTAACATCTGCAAGAATCTTGGAGGAGCTGCTTCCGGTACCTGTTCTGGTGGCTCCGGCACCTGCTGTGTCTGTAAGTGTGTGGGCACCAGCAGGCCAGGCTCCTGCTGTGTCTGTAAGTGTGCGGGCACCAGCAGGCCAGGCTCCTGCTGTGTCTGTGAGTGTGTGGGCACGAATGGGTCAGGCTCCTGCTGTATATGTTGTATACGTGAGTGTGAGGGTACTAGTGCGTCAAGGGTAATTTTAAAACACAGGACACATACGCAATGTTCTTGTAGCCTGCTCTACATGATAATGAGTGAGTTGATAATCTCACACTCAGTACTTGCAATTTGCCAATTAAATTATCTCAATATTTTTTCATAATTTTAAAACCCCTTTGGTATATTTTACTGTCTTCGATAAAAATTTGTACTCTCGATCTGGGACGCCTGAGAGTCTTTAAGCTGGCTCAGGAAGTCTTTAAGCTAGGCTCAGTAAATCTTTAAGCTAGGCTCAGTAAGTCTTTAATCTAGGCTCAGTAAGTCTTTAAGCTAGGCTCAGTAAGTCTTTAAGCTAGGTTCAGTAAGTCTTTAGGCTAGGCGCAGTAAGTCTTTAAGCTAGGCGCAGTATGTCTTCAAGCTAGGCTCAGTAAATCTTTAAGTTAGGCGCAGTAAGTCTTTAAGCTAGGCTCAGTAAGTCTTTAAGCTAGGCTCAGTAAGTCTTTAAGCTAGGTTCAGTAAGTCTTTAAGTTGCTTTATGTTCAAGGCTGTTATGTGTTACAGTAGTGGGAATAAGTTGCGTTATTTGTACTCAGCGATATAAAATTTGGTTCACGTGGCATAAGTAAACCCTTAACTTTCTCTTTCACCTCTGGTATCTCAACTTCCCCTTCTACAAACTTCCCTTCTGAACATTCTTCTTAGTTTCTCATCCATTCCTCCACAGTTCAACAATCGTGTGGAGGGATGACCTCACAGAACTGCACTTACTTCGTTAACACAAACTACCCAAAATCCTACAACGACGTCGGTTCCTGTCAACTCACCGTCAACAAGATCAGCAACAACATTTGTCAACTCAGGTGAGTGGACTCTTCTTTTTTTACAATCTCTGTTTATCATATTCAAATTTTTATACATTTTTTGTGCTGCACAAGGATAATGTAGTTTATAGGTAATAATACATCGTTAACACAAAAGAAAGCCACTAGTATATGAGAATGCATTATGGGCAATATTCGTCCTCTTCATTTCTTAAGTTCCCCTTACCCTTTCTTCCTTATTCCCTTCCTTTCCTATTTCTATCCTTCCATATTTCCCTCCTTCCATATTTAATTTTCTCGTTTTGTTTCTGGTGAAGAGAAGTTGCAAGCTTTTGGTGGAGTTTGAGAGGATGTGTAAAAAAAGAAATTAAAAGTGAACATAAAAGAAAGTGATGATTGGAGCAAAAGTTAATTTAGAAAATAGTCTGTGACATACTTCGTTTTGAGGGAGTATGCTGGTAGTGGTTGTACTTTAATATTTTGGAGTGAAAATGCTGACAGATGAGTCTATGAAAGACTAAGTGAACTATAGAATAGACGAGGGGAGAGAGCTGGGTGGAGTGTTGAAGTGTCTGCGTAAAAAAGTCACAAGGGAGCAAAAGAGAATACAAATCAGAGTATTTTGATATCAGCACTTTCACATGGGCGTGGGGCATGGGCGTGAGGCATGGGTGTGAGGCATGGGCATTGAAGGTTGCAAGGATGGAGAGGCTTGAAGCAGCAGAGATGTAATGTTTGAGAGCAATATGCAGCGATGATATAGTCCACAGAATAAAAAGCGTAAAAATCAGAAGGCCGTGTGAGAGGTTGAGAGATACATTCAGAAGTCAGAAGTAGAACTGAGACAGTCTGGTCATACAGAAAGAATATTGCAGAATAAGTCGGAAGGAGGGTAGGATTCGTCCCAGGATGGAGATGTGTCCTTACATATATATGGTCGAATATATTCTTAAAACCATTCCTCGTCTCTTTTACTTACAAACGTCAAGTTTCAAAGAAATAAAACATTGTGGAAGGGTTTTCAGTATGCGTTATAAAAAAAAAGACTTCGGTCAATACCCCCAATCGCGGGTGAAATTGGAAAATACAACTTTCTGAAGTAAAGTTTTCTTGACGAGTCTCTGTCTGTCTGTCTGTGTGTCTCTCTTTCGCTCTGTCTGAAACGACGGACACACTCAAAATTCCACAACCAAAACAAAACTCCTAACAACCCAAAACTGTCTAGTCAAAATAATTGAATGACAAATTGGATCTGCAAGCCATTTCCATTTATTAAACTACAATGTACGACCCATAAACAAAAACCATGGCCAACAGAGCACATCCTTCTACAAACAACACATCACAACCTGATACCCACAAACCATATTTTAATACTGACAAATCCCAAAACCGTATTGTACTACACACATATTACATCCTAATACTCACAAACAACTTTCTGCTACCCATGAATCCCATCCTACTAACAAACCCCATTATATTGCCCACAAATTTCCTCTTGCCGCCCCACACTGCATCCTGTTACCCACGAACCACCACCTGTGGCACATATATCAATAATAATGACCCACAACTAACTTCTTCCTCAGGCTAGACTTCGACACCTTCATGATATCACAGCCAGAAACAGTGGACCATCAGTGTATCAACGACAGATTCACAGTATCAGGTGGTACACCTGTCCCATCTATTTGCGGTACCAACACCGGCAACCAGAGTGAGTACACTAAGGAAGAAAGTTAATATGTAGTTACCCATTTGTCTCTGCGGAGTTTTAATCACTTGGCCTCCACCGTTGAACAACGATTAAATGTGTCTATCACAACTCTTGATTTTCTCGTATCTTTTTTTTCGAAACCCATTTTTATATATTCCATTAGTTGGCCACCCTCACACCTAAGTAACTATTTGTACCGTAGGCTTATTTAAACGTAGTCTCAAGTTGTATCCTCTTTCGGTTTTTGTCCCTATTTCTGTCCGACTCTGAGTATATTATAATTTCTAATTAAACCTCCTCTGGGTCTCCTGTATTCTAGCAATGAAAGATCAAGCTTTTGTTAGCTTTTCTTCTTAGCTCAGACCTCTCAGGTTTGGGTTCGTTCTTGCAGCAAATCCAGGATCTGTCTAAAGATTTTTTCTGGCTGAGTAAGCCAAGATTTTACACTGGTCCCAGGTCCTCCACTACTGAACCAACGTATACCAGGTACATTCTAAGCGTCTTCTTCAGATTCCTAAAGGCTATTATCACAATTACAGTGTTGAATTATCCGTATGGGTTAGCAAGTTAAAATAACAACATCGGGATATTATGTTAACCTGCATCTTCAACCTCTTGATAGTTTTATCTTGTTAGTAATGATTCCTTGTAATTTTCCCTTTATAAACGAATTTACTGGAGTTTTTGACAGTACTCTTGAGTCGAATAATTTGTTGTAGATCTTTGTCAGTGGTCTGCACAGTGTCTGCTGTCTACCTCAGTATTTATGGTATCAGCGCCTTTGATGTGTCCTGCTTCTTCAGATGTATGTTTATTATATATTGCTGTCAATACTTTATGGCTAAGAAGTGTGTGGTAATGCCTTTATTTTTTTGTGCTAGCTATCATTCCTCGGTCGTGAATACTTCTACCTTCGAGTTTCATGCTTACTTCCTTGTGTGTGTGTGTGTGTGTGTGTGTGTGTGTGTGTGTGTGTGTGTGTGCGTGCGTGCGTGCGTGTGTGTGTGATTATCAAATTTGAAGTTACAGTAAAAGGGATACACCCATGATGCTTTATTCCGAATATTTAGTCATATAATTATGTGATCTTTCAAGTGGTTCTAGCACTCTCTCCCGACTCTTGGATTCAGCAATCTACCAGTCTTTATGAAATAATTTCTTGTCATTTTGACATCGCTTCTTAAGCATTTAGCTGTTTTAGCCTATTGATGATGCTTAGAATTTTGCCTTATTTATTTTATCCCCTTATTTTATATATGATTATTATATCTCCTTTTTATCTTCTTTTCAATAAAAGATGGTTGTCTCACTATATATATATATATATATATATATATATATATATATATATATATATATATATATATATATATATATATATATATATATATATATATCTTTCATAATTCTTAACTCTAGGATACATTATAAATTACCTATACATATTTAACCACCTATTTTAGAGAGGGGATTAGGGGGGAATGGGATACCTCACTCCCGCTTCAAATTAAAAATACTAGTGTAGCCTCCCTTGCGTATGTTGTGAATTTGTGTTGATAGTTCAGTCTCCCACATCTGCAAGCTGTATTAACCTGCCAGTATTGTATTTCAGAATTACATTACTGTATTTATGTGCTTTCACGAATGCGTTTGCACATGCGTGTGTACGGTAGTTCACGCGTACTCATTTGCAAGTGTGCGAGCGAGAGAAATTTCATGTACACATGCGTGTGAGTTACATGTGAGCGTACGTGTATGCGTGTGTGTGTTCAGTACACTTAGATGAACTACATCACGCTCGGGTTGCCAACGAGGAAACACACTGTCACCTACAAAAGAAATTCGTGAAAACGAAAGTAGTGGAAGTGTAGGAGGTGCGCGAACAAGTGTTGCGTCTCTCTCAAGTAGTGGAGAGTGTGGTGGTAGTGGTACCTCTCCCAAAACCACTATTTCCACCACCACCACCACCACAGTACCCAGCAATTACATTAATATTCCTACGGCTGGTGAATTATTAAGGACAAGATATTAATGTTTTGTTTATAATTAGCATCATTTACCTTGCATTTACCTGAGGTAATTTATGCTACCCTGCAATACCTGATAAAACGTGGAATGGAAATTTAATACCACCATTGAATTGTATTTATATACGTTTCCTGGGCCTCGTCTGCATTTATATGCTTTCCCGTCCTCGTATGTGTATGTTTACTCTGTTTCCTGTTATTTACAAGACTCAGGTGTCTAATCATCCTCCCTGCTGATGTTTCTGGCTGTAGGATTAAAGACCTTTGGAAAATATATTCATCTTTCCTTATATACATTGTTAGAATCTTCCCCTAACTCTATTCTCCAGGCTACCTTCCCTACTTTCTCTCAGGGGCGTCGTAAGGGGGGGGGGGCGGGCCGCCCTGGGTGACACCATTTAGGGGGTGACACCATAGAGCCTCTAAAGAAGGTGACACTAATGCCCAAAACAGTGCTGCACCAACATAAGAGAAGAATCCTTCGTTTCTATATAGCCTTTTATATAATAACAAAGTACAAATAAGCCTATATAGAGAAAAATCATTGATTTTGATGATGTGATAGATGATTTTGCATAACTGAAGGCAAGGAAATGTAAGAGCCAATTCACTGAGATGTTACCTGTACTCAAGGTCAAACCGGAACTAGTGTTTCTCTGATATTGCAATGTTTTTCTCTATTTTTCAAGTTTTCTTTTTTTTTTTGGCATTGTTGAAGATTAATAAATGTAGGATGTGTTGACTGTACTTCAAGTGGTATTTGAGTTTATGTTTACTCAATATTACTACGATTATTTATTTTATCATTAATAAAGTTAAGAAGTATTCTCCTGTATAAATAACAAAAAGGCACAATACCGTGACTGGAACAATACACAAATAACCCGCACATAGAAGAGAGGAGCTTACGACGACGTTTTGGTCCGACTTGGACAGAAACGTATTCTCCTGTTCAGTTTATGACCCTTAAACGTTCTCATTGCTAAACATTTGTCACTGGTCATGCAGTAGTGACATAACTGGAGTTTAACCCCCTCCCCCCCGGCCTTGAATTTCATGGGGTGACACCAAAGATGCTGCCCCGGGTAACACCAGAGATTCTCACCCGGGTGACACCAACTCCTGAGACGCTTCTGTTTTCTCTGCTTCTCTGAGAGGAACCTTCTCACCTCACTCTCCTTCCTTTTACCCTTGACAGTGGCTCCTCTTCCCTTACTTGCCTTATCTTAACCGGACCAATATCTAGCGTGTCCTTCTTAGCTTATGGACCATCTCGTGACTGACGCTATTAACTGACCTCGTAGCGCGGTGGTAGCTCATTTAAGTTCAAAAATGAAAAAAATTTGGGTCGAGTCCTGGTTAGGTGGGATGTAGTGTTAAGTCTCATAACAGCCATTATATCCTGTTGACTATCAGTAAACCTATGGGTTAATTGACTATTGCTGGTCGCACACTGGGGAGGACATGAAGACCACTGTGGAAATAGGTTACACTGTTTGGTGTCCTGAGTTATTAACACCCGGGAGATACTAATATGAATAAAGTCTTCCTGTCATTAAGCTTGACCATTGTTACCCCCCCCCCCTCAGTGTACGTTGACCTAGGCCCTGGAGCCACTACGCCCACCGTGTTGACCTTCATCACTATGGGTCCCGCCTTTGACCGCAAGTGGAAGGTGAAGGTTAGCCAGATCCCCTGCAATACTGATTATTCAGGTGAGTTAAGGTGTGAATAAATTGTCACTTGCCAAAGGCTCGTACCAGTAGAAACTTGGCCCTTCCTCTTTTTTTTTTTTGGTGTGTGTGTGTGTGTGTGTGTGTGTGTGTGTGTGTGTGTGTGTGTGTGTGTGTGTGTGTGTATTGTCTGATTACTTTCGATTTAACTGCTTTGAGAGAGAGAGAGAGAGAGAGAGAGAGAGAGAGAGAGAGAGAGAGAGAGAGAGAGACTGAGATTCAAAGCCAGCCAGAAAACATAACTCAGTATACTTCACACCACCACCTTCCCTGGGGTCTGAGAAAACCATCGTATCCATCTTACTCGTCAGCCAATTGTTTTTTCTCTTTTCCAGCTCTTTACCGTTCAGTTATCCTCAAAGAAACTTTCCCATTTAGCTCACCCCTGCTTTGACCCTCCACTTTCTCCACGTATGTTGCTGTTCTCCCACTCTCTTACTCTGAAAAGATTTCATTCCACAGCTGCCTTCAACGACTCTCCTGTTTTTGACGGCGAGAATTCCATGCATCTTAGTTACTTCCCACTCTGGACAGGGAGTTGATAGAATTCCTGGAATTAGCTTTTTTTACTCTTAAACATTCCAATGCTGGACAATCTAATTCCTAAATTACATTATTTTATTCCATGTGTTTTTCTTTCATTTCATGGCTTTTTTTTTTTTTTGCCACTTCAAGATGACCTTAAACATTCCATACCAAACTTTTCTTATACAACACACACAGCAGCGTCAAGGGACACTAAACCACAGGCACTAACATTACTCCAAATATTTAAACTAAATTTTCTGAGAAAAAACATATTTATTGGTTCTTGAATAGAACAATGGTATACAATACCGATACGTTAGGTATCTTTATTCCGAAACGTTTCGCCTACACAGTAGGCTTCTTCAGTCGAGTACAGAGGAATTTACAGAAGCAGTAGAGATGTGAAGACGATGTAATCAGTCCATCACACTTAAAGATGTAGTTTTGAGGTGGTCAGTCCCTCAGCGTGGAGAAGAGCTTTGTTCCATATTCTGGAACAATGTTTCAGACTATGGAACAAACCCTCCCGCAGCATAAACCTCCGCCTATACAGCAGCCTCCCATATTATTCTGCCAGGTCTCCCATTCTACCAGCCCCCACAAACCCCCAGAATACAGTCTTGGAAAAGAAACTGAAGGTATGGTACACCAACGCAGACGGAATAACGAATAAGTGTAAGGAGCGGCACGAAAGAATCATTGAGGCATCCCCAGACATCATAGCACTCACGGAAACCAAGCTCATATGAATGACAACAGGAGGAGTTGCATTGCTCATCAAAAATCAGTGGAGTATTGAGGAGCTGGAAAAAGTGAACAAAAGGGAAGCAAAGGACTACATAGTAGGAACATTTTAGACTGGGAGTCCCTAGATGGTGATTGCAGTGTTGTACAACCCGCCACTGAATAGCAGGAGGCCAAAACAAGAGTACGATGAGGGCAGCAAAACAATGGTTGATACACTAGCTGAGGTTGCCAGAAGGGCCCACATGGGCAAGGCAAAGTTACTAGTTGTTGGTGATTTCAGTCACAAGGAGATTGACTGGGAAAACCTGGAGGCACATGAGGGACCAGAAACGTGGAGAGCTCAGATGATGAAGGTACTGGAAAACCTCATGCATCGGCATGTTAGTGACACTACTAGTCTTTCTTTTATTTGTTATCCTCATTTTTTCTGTTCATTCTGCTGCTGCTTCTCTTTCTTCTTGACCTCATCTTCACATCTTATTCAACAACTTTACACATATGCTGCTATGTATGATAATTTATGTAACTGTATTTGTGTTTACCTGAATAAACTTAATGTTCCTCCTTGTAGCACCTACGGACTGCCTGCAGTACCTGACGGGGGTGACTGGGCAGATCAAGTCCTTCAACTACGACGTGAGCACAGGCTTGCAGCTCTCCAACCAAGATTACACGATATGCATCAGACCAGAGAAGAACTTCTGTGGCATCCAGTACATGGCTTGTTCTGACACAGGTGAGGGGTGGTGGGACAGGTGAGATGATGAGACAGATAAGGGGTAGTGGGACAGATGAGATGATGAGACAGATAAGGGGTAGTGGGACAGGTGAGATGATGAGACAGATAAGGGGTAGTGGGACAGGTGAGATGATGGCAGATAAGGGGTAGTGGGACAGGTGAGATGATGAGACAGTTAAGGGGTAGTGGGACAAGTGAGATGATGAGACAGATAAGGGGTAGTGGGACAGGTGAGATGATGAGACAGACAAGGGGGCGATGGGGCAGATGAGATGACGAGGCAGATGAGGTGATAATGAAAACAGCAGTAGATAAAACCAATGCTTTGGATAATTATCAAAACTTATGTTGATACTAGACCGTATTTTGGTTCTTATCTAATTTTGCGGGCAACTCACATGGGGATTTATATAAATACAATACCGCGACTGGAACAATCCAAAACTAACCCTAAATTTGGAGAGAAAGCGTTAGTCGACGTTTCACCCGTCCTGGCCAGGCGGAACGTAATGTCACCTAAAGTTTCCACTACAAATTTTGAGTTACTAGTTGTGAAACAAAGTAGCTTCAGTAGGAGCCCCGAGAAATATGGATCAATCCCAGAGTGTAAGAAGCTCTTTCTTCAGCTCTTAAGTCAGACTAGCCTGCCCAGTGATTGTATTTATAATATTAGCTGTTGAACGTGTGGGTTTTTGGTGAATTATTTGTCGTATTAGGAATATTAATATAAATATGAGCAGTGGTGGTAGTAATGGTAGCGGGAGTATTCGTAGTAGTAACATTTTAAAGTCCAATATCTACTTTTTCCTTCTCTGTTTAAGGTCCATGCACATGCTTTAAATTCTTCAAAGTTAATTAATTTACATTATTTATGCCAATATCCCTTGTGAGTTTTGATTATAATAATAATATGCCAGTAGTCAGACCATAGGAAGTGAACAGACATCCATTCTACTATCCTGATATCTTCTGTCTAGACAGATATAGTTATGGTAAGATGGTAATTTAATCTTTAGAAAATAACTTCGTGTCCTTTTCGTGTACTCCCATTTACTTTCTCCTCTCAGTGAACACAAGCCCGCAGTCGTTCACCATCACGGGCAGCACTGCCTCACCTGTGGGTAGTATTGTTGGGGCTACCGAATGCAGTAAGGACTGGTTAACTATCCCATGCGTCTCAGACAACTCGAGGAACCCGTCTTCCAACTGCCAGGACCGTTTGTGTGGTGACAACCTCAACGTCATCGCCTCCACCACCGGAGGCAACGTGAGGGTGTACAGTAAGTGTGTGCATGTGTTCTCTCATGATTGTATTTGATGGAGTCGAACCACAACTTTAGCCCCTCCAACTCTTGCAACGCACGTGTGTGTACTCACCTAATTGTACTCACCTAATTGTGGTTGCAGGGGTCGAGACTCGGCTCCTGGCCCCGCCTCTTCACTGATCGCTACTGGGTCCTCTCTCTCTCTGCTTCCTGAGCTTTGTCATACCTCTTCTTAAAACTATGTATGCTTCCTGCCTCCACTACTTCACTTACTAGGCTATTCCACTTGCTGACAACTCTGTGACTGAAGAAATACTTCCTAACGTCCCTGTGACTCGTCCGAGTCTTCAGCTTCCAGTTGTGATCCCTTGTCCCTGTGTCCCCTCTCTGGAACATCCTATCTCTGTCCACCTTGTCTATTCCCCGCAGTATCTTGTATGTCGTTATCATGTCTCCCCTGACCCTTCTGTCCTCCAGTGTCGTCAGTCCGATTTCCCTTAACCTTTCCTCGTACGACATTCCCTTGAGCTCTGGGACTAGCCTTGTTGCAAACCTTTGTACTTTCTCTAACTTCTTGACGTGCTTGACCAGGTGTGGGTTCCAGACTGGTGCTGCATACTCCAGTATGGGCCTAACATACAGTGTACAGTGTCTTGAACGATTCCGTATTAAGGTATCGGAACGCTATTCTCAGGTTTGCCAGGCGCCCGTATGCTGCAGCAGTTATTTGGTTGATGTGTGCCTCCGGTGATGTGCTCGGTGTTATGGTCACCCCAAGGTCTTTCTCCCTGAGTGAGGTCTGTAGTCTTTGTCCACCTAGCCTATACTCTGTCTGCGGTCTTCTTTGCCCCTCCCCAATCTTCATGACTTTGCATTTGGCTGGATTGAATTCGAGAAGCCAGTTACTGGACCACATGTCCAGCCTGTCCAGGTCTCTTTGCAGTCCTGCCTCATCCTCATCCGATTTAATTCTTCTCATTAACTTCACGTCATCTGCGAACAGGGACACTTCAGAGTCTATTCCTTCCATCATGTCGTTCACATATATCAAAAATAGCACTGGTCCTAGAACTGACCCCTGTGAGACCCCGCTCGTAACAGGCGCCCACTGTGATACCTCTTCACGTACCATGACTCATTGCTGCCTCCCTGTCAGGTATTCCCTTATCCATTGCAGTGCCCTCCCTTTTACATGCGCCTGGTCCTCCAGCTTCTGCACTAATCTCTTGTGGGGAACTGTGTCAAAGGCCTTCCTGCAGTCTAGGAAAACGCAATCTACCCACCCCTCTCTCTCGTGTCTTACTTCTGTTACCTTGTCATAAAACTCCAGGAGGTTTGTGATACAGGATTTGCCTTCCATGAACCCATGCTGGTTTTCATTTATAATCTTGTTCCTTTCCAGGTGTTCGACCACTCTCCTCCTGATAATCTTCTCCATGACTTTGCACACAATACATGTCAGAGACACAGGTCTGTAGTTTAATGCCTCGTTTCTGTTTCCTTTCTTAAATATGGGGACTACATTAGCTGTCTTCTATTTCTCGGGTAGTTGCCCAGTTTCAAGGGATGTGTTGAAGATTGTGGTTAGAGGCACGCACAGCATCTCTGCTCCTTCTCTAAGGACCCATGGGGAGATGTTGTCTGGTCCCATCGCCTTTGAGGTGTCAAGATCACTTAAGAGCTTCTTCACCTCCTCCTCGGTTGTTCGTATGTCATCCAACACTTGTTGGTATATTCCCTCTTGATGTTCCCTTCTGTGCTGTCTTCCCACAGCCCTTCCTGTCTCTACTGTAAAAACTTCCTTAAATCTCCTGTTCAGCTCCTCACATACCTCCTGATCATTTCTTGTGAGTTCTCCACCTTCTGTCCTTAATCTGATCACCTGGTCTTTGACTGTTGTCTTCCTCCTGATGTGGCTATACAACAGTTTCGGGTCAGTCTTGATTCTCGATGCTATGTCATTTTCATACTGTCGCTGGGCCTCCCTCCTTACCTGTGCATACTCATTCCTGGCTCTGCGACTGATCTCCCTATTTTCGTGTGTTCTCTGCCTTCTGTACTTTTTCCATTCTCTATTGCACTTTGTTTTTGCCTCCTTACACCGTCGGGTAAACCAGGGGCTCGTTCTGGTCTTCCCGTTGTTACCGTTGCCCTTGGGAATAAACTTTTCCACTGCCTCCTTGCATTTTGTTGTTACATATTCCATCATTTCATTTACTGGCTTTCCTGCCAGTTCTCTGTCCCACTGGACCTCCCACAGGAAGTTCTTCAACCCTATGTAGTCCCCTCTTTTATAGTCAGGCTTTTCCCATTCAACTCCTGTTATTCTCTCCACTTGCAGCTCTACTATGTATTCAAAGCACAGAACCACGTGGTCGCTAGCTCCTAGGGGACTCTCATACTTGATGTCCTCAATGTCTGAGCTGCCCAGGGTGAACACAAGGTCCAATCTTGCTGGTTCATCCTCCCCTCTCACTCTGGTAGTGTCCTTAACATGTTGGTGCATGAGGTTTTCCAGCACCACGTCCAGCATCCTGGCTCTCCATGTTTCGGGACCCCCATGTGGCTCCAGGTTTTCCCAGTCGATCTCCCTGTGGTTGAAATCCCCCATAACCAGCAACTTTGCTCTGCTGGAATGAGCTCTTCTTGCCACCTCAGCAAGTGTGTGCACCATTGCTCTGTTGCTCTCTTCATATTCCTCTCTTGGCCTCCTGCAGTTCTGTGGTGGATTATACATCACTGCAATGACCACTTTGTGTTCCCCAGACTGAAGTGTACCTGCTATGTAGTCCCTTTCTCCCGTCTCATCTATGCCTTCCATTTTCTCGAATTTCCATCTGTCTCACCTGTTGGCGCTATATAAGGCTCCATCCTGTCACTTCATCTTCATATTGTTTCATGCTATGGAACAATGCTCTTCTCCAGACTGAGGGACTGACCACCTCAAAACTTTAAGGGTGATGGACTGATTACATCGTCTTCAAGTATCTTCTGCTTCTATCAACTTTTCTGTACTCGACTGAAGAAGCCTACTGTGTAGGCGAAACGTTTCGAAATAAAGATACCTAACTGTTGCATATGTGTCTTACCTAACAACCTGTCGGTATTTTATACCATTTTAATGTTCAATCTTTCCCAATTATGCTACTCTCTCCACTTATTGCCCTTTCTGGATTTACGTATTAATTGTTGCTGGTTATTATCATTTTCCTTGTTCATATTGAGAGAGGACTTCCTAGCTTCCTAAGTATTCTTACTGCTAATAACAACCGGTAGTAACACTGCCTGTATGTGTGTGTGTGTTAGCATTTTGTCCTGTGTGTGTGTGTGTGTGTGTGTGTGTGTGTGTGTGTGTGTGTGTTTCCCATGAACTTATTTTTCCTTAAATTTTAATGCAATGGCTGTCTCATCGAGGCAGAGCGGCCCGAAAAAGAGGAAACACACTCACTGTCTACAGAGACAAAGCCAGGATTAAGATTCATACAAACTTACTTTTTTCTCAGACTAACACCCTTCGCAGTAATCTAGTTCGTACCTCTCCTCCCGCTTTAGGTGCCCCTAGTGCCTAATCTATTTCATGCTCCTCTTGTCCTCTTCAGTACTTTGGAGAAACTGGCCGCTCTGTTTCTGACAGACTCAAGGAGCACAAAAGTAGTGTTAGTCTTGCCGACACCGATAATGCTCTTTTATATAATGTTAGAGATCACAGTCATCCTACTGACTGATCTGCTAAAACTGTCTACTCTGCTTCTAACTTTCACAGTCGCCGTCTTGTTAAATCATCCCTTATAAACAACTTTCCTTGTATAAATCTTAGTCCTGGCTTTGTCTCTGTAGATGCCTTCCTTTCCCATTACATTGTCAAATGCTCCAAACTCAGAACATGCGTGATTTAACCTGATTCTTTTTCCTCCTCCTCTCTCTACCTCTTTTTTTTCCATATTTTCTTTTTCTCGTTTTTGGTTTCCTTTTTCCTGCCTTGGGTATCCTGTTCTTCACTTCCTCCTTTCTTGTGTTTTTGGACTTAGCCCTTGTGGGCCCTTAGTTCTGCAGTGTTCCTCTTTCTTGACCTTTGACTGACCCCACTACTAATTTCTTTGTCCCCTACCTTCGCTTTTGACTCCCTTCACCATTCACTTCCCCTATCTATTCTTGTCCCACCAGCCACTCTGCCTACTTTACACTACCACTACTACTTCTACTACTAATTCCACTACCAGTCTTTCCCTTACCACCACTACTACTACTGTTTCCATCACCTGCCTTACCACTACCACTACTCCCACCTCTCTTGTCCCGTCCCCGCCAGCTGTCCTATATATACTGGCTACATGCTTCTTTTCTGTTAGTGTGACCTAGTAAATGGTCCAAGTTGGACCGAAACGTCGTCGTAAGCTTCTCTCTCCTATGTCCGGGTTATTTGTGTATTGTTCCAGTCCTTATGGCGTCCTTTTCTCTGAGGTCGCTTCATCTGTTTTGCAAATTATGTGACTGTAGCCTGTTCCTCTCCTGTAGGTTATGTGAAGCCGTTCTTCCTGGTGTATCATACTGATGCCACTGAGGGAAGCGCCAGTCCTCCAGAACTTAACAATCGTGGCTTCTGTCTTAACTATGTCCAGCAACCTTGCGTCTAGGGTCGTCACACCAGAGCAACACGAGGTAGGCGTCTAGCTCCTGGTGTATTCTGAGTGTCATACCGTCCCTCATCTCCCGCTGTGACGATATATAATCATGTATACCTTTCATTTTATTTGAAAAAGCTCATTCTATGTTCAAAATTATTTAAGCTCTGCAACTCTGTGTACGTCCTTTAAATTTTCGTTTTATTGCTTTCACATTTATTAAATATATACTACTAGTTATCCCTTGTAGATCTTCGTTATTTACTATGAAGGAATTTTTAAATCGGTTAACTTTATTCAGGTTCCTTACACAAGTTTCCATTTTTATAATTATCTCGTATAGTAACGAGTATATAACCTAGGATAATTATTATTGTAATCAAAAAGAAGCGCTAAACCTACAAGTCATACAGTGCTACCTAGGATAAGAATACAATATCTATTTCTTTTATTTATTCGTGAGCTTCATAAACAAGTATTTATAAATGTGTAGGTAAATTCGTATCTAATTACCTTTTGCATATATTCAGAATACATATATAGGTGAACAGACGTTGTCGTGTACACTGAGTTATTATTCATTGGGAAGCAATTAATTTTTTTATCTACATTTGGGGTTAAAACAAAATTTACAATGACTTTCTATGAGGGTACACATATGTAATGAGTACATTATGTAAATTTAATCCAGGATAACCCAATAAAGTAAAACAATCTGACTTTTTCTATTGGGATCCCTGACATGACGTGTAAAGGTCATACAAGATAAATCTCGTTGATATCTATTATTTCCACCTGCCTGTTTTGTCTTCCATCCTTACTGCTCCCACCACACTTCTGATGCTCGGCTTTAATACACCACATTTATATTTTTTCCCTTCGTGAGGACGCTCGCTGCTGTTCGTCATAACACAATCATACAATAAGGTTCCTGTGCGACCTCAGTGACATAAAGGAAGACCTATATTATTATTATAATCATAACTAAGCGCTAAACCCATAAGGGTCATACAGCGTTGCAGGAAGACCTATAAAAAAGTTTTTTTTTCTTCTGTGGGAGGGTACAACTTGTTGCAGCAGGGATTTTAAAAAAAATCCTCCTGTGAAAATCCCTCTCCTCAAGATGAACCCAGACAGTTTTTCTCTTAGAGGGAATTTGTCTTTTCTTTCATACCCAGGTCATGTGACAACACCACAAGTCATCCGACAGTATCTCAAACTATATTACAGTGCCTCTGATTATTGTCACAGGAAGTTCAGATTATCTTAAAGTAACACCAGCCATATTACAGTATATCAGATTATATTACATTAGCTCAGATCATTTTCCAATAGCCCCAATAATGTCATATTAATCTTGTAGGCCAAATTTATTACCACAATCAAAACTAAGCGCTAAACCCACAATGGTCATACAGCGCTGAATGAATCTTAAAATTTAGACATAAATACAATTTTGTCAAAGAAAACATGGTGCCAAAAAAAAAAATCACAACTTCACACGTTTATCAGGTTGTATGACTCGCGAAGTACATTACACAAAAACAAAGACAAAAACAGAACTTTATTTGCAAAGCTACAAGTGCTGTTTGTAAGGAAGGAAAATTATGTTGGAAATTAAAAGTAAAAATAAGTAGTTTTTGTTAGAGACAGTAAAGACGTGACAAGCTTGAGTTTACTTTCATTAGCTTTATTTCCAGAGGATATCAGGGCTGCATCTCGGGAATAACTGACTTAAAAGGTAACTTTAGTAATAAATAGTTATAATTATAACTATAATTTGTGAAAGGGTGGGCCGATAAGCCAGCTGAAGCTCTCTGTCAAATGACCAAAAGCTCCAGCTGCGGGTTATCATATATGACTAAGACCCGCGTCAGGAAACACTTGTTCTGTTTTCTGATAAACCTAACCTAACTTTAGTGGCACAAGGATAGATACACAGACAATCACCTCTCGTTCTATATAGCCCTATGCCACTGAAATCATTTCAGGCTTAATCCCTATTTTAGGGAGTAAAGTATTCTTGACCTGTGGTGAACAGATTATATGACCCTCAGGTAGTCGATAGACTTTAAACCCTATTAACTTGGTGGAGCATGAGCCTTTTATCGGTGTCAAGGCACTTTCCCTTGAGAAATTTACTGCCGTCAACACCATCTTGGGCGATCCTTCTTGTTTAAAATGGGGAGGGGGGGGGGGGGTCGGGTGTTGCGGAAGCCTAGCTAGGGTAGCCAGCAGCCAGCGAGTGCTTCACCATCGAAAGGTTCATAGTCTGAAAAAAAGACGCCCGTCAGCAGATACTTGTACTATTTCACAAGTGTCTTCTGACCAGGAGGGTGGGGGAAGGGGTTGTTAGATTTTATTTTGTTTTTACCACCGAAGTGGCTAGTTTACTGTGCACTCCATATCAATCCTGTGGACGGTAGCACAAGAGCATATGGATACACAAAAGGCCTAGGAACTAGGTCCCATGAGGGTTAACAGGAGCACATCTGGATTTATATCTAGTGTTGACTTATTTGTTGCAAGCAAATTTGGGAAATTTGCATAATATATCTGGTATCTTATTTTCAACAATATCTTGACATATCACAGATTATACTATATTCCTTAATAAGTGATTAATAAAGCAAATAGAGTTAAAGGTAGTGACCAAAAGGCTGGCCGCATACGTTACATACGTCTGCCAAACTGCCAGAACCTTAAGCCAAGACTAGCATCAATCTCTTCACATTGCAAGTTGCTCCATAAACATACTGATCTACGTTCATGTTACCATAGTGGACGATAGATCTGCTCAGGCTTCTAACTACATTCTTATAAAATTGTTTCATTATTTACTTGCCTGTTAATATTATTCCTAATGCTAGACAGACACCAAAGTTATATTCTACATTTGTCTTCAGGGTACTCTTTTTGGTTTAACTTATCAACTTTATCGTGAAGGAGCAATCTAATGAGTTGGAATCCATAACAGTTATACATTAATTCCTTTTTTCCTGGATTTTTGAGTATCTATATTTGGCTTCTCCAATGAGCATGTCAAACGATGACCCAATAAATGGTGAAGCATCGGCTGGTTTACCCCAGCTAGATTTTCTCCTAAAATACAAATGGTTACCTGATTTGGTGTTTACAACAATAAACTTTCTCTAAGGAGGTGCCTTAACACAGGCTCTTGGTTCACTAGGTTAATAGGGTTTAAAGCCTATAAAATATTTGAGGGTTAAGGCTGCATATAAACTCTTCACCACCAACGAAGAATACTAACAAAATTTAACCAACTTTATAAGGACGAGTTACTTTACAGGAAAGTCCCACTACATAGATCGTTCACAAATAGACGAAGGATTACACCTAAAATTCGTCTCATTTTCCTTCTATCTCAGATAAAATAGTTAAATTATTGGTGTGCAGATTTTTATACCCAATATTTAGCATCACATTTACTACATGACAGCTAAAATTTACGAAAAATATCCCATAGTTTACCTAAGAATTTGTATAGGTATATTTAACTGTTTTACCTAGAGTTAGAAGAGAAGGGGATCTTCAGGTGACCAGAGATACGTAAACACGTTAGAAAAAACGCTGTATTATGCAGACGGGCTGCAAGGAGAAGATTGGTCAAGTGAATCTTCCTGCGAGTCTGTGTTGGCAGCCACATCAAGCAGAGGGCGAGCAACTGGCCTAGTGGTAAACACCTCTTGCAGCTGGTGCAGGGTTCGACCCCCCGTCTCTGGCAGGAATGCCCATACCACTGCCGCCAGGACCACGTTGAAGAAGGCGAAAATTAGGAGGCTTCCTCCTGTGCCAATCACCCTCATCAGCTCTGGGAAGACGAAGCCAACTACAAATAAAGTTAAGGCAAAGAAGGAAGTGGTGATAGAAGCTCCAATGGACCTAACTGGCGTAGGAAGAAATTCTCCCAGTAGGACCCACGGTATGGGACCCACACCCAGTCCGTAAGCAAGAACAAACACCAGAACAGCAGCTAGCGGCACCCAAGAAGAGCCTGGGATATCTACCAGGAGAAAGAAACCACCGAAAGCCACTGCGACAGCGCTCACGATGGAGGTACTTATGAGCAGCGGTCGTCGCCCGATTCTATCTAACAGTACAGAAGACACGAACGTAGCAATGAGACGAGCGACTCCCACAAGGATGGTGCAGGTAAAGGCATTAAGGTAGAGTCCGGCGTGGTGGAAGAGGTAAACCGTGTAGGAGAAGACGGCGTACTGTCCTCCCAGCTCCCGCAGCACGAACACAGCCACTAGTACTGCTACTGGCTGCAGGTACTGCACCATACGAAGCTGTTTCATCTGAAAAATACAATACTAATTAACACTTTTCTGTAGCTTGCTTACTTTGTAAAGTTTAAAACTTATGAACTGCACATCATTAAGGCTCCAATTCACTTTTAAAAAATTACAAATATTCTGACCAAAGAAACTGGACATTCCCCAGGCGCTCTATGACTCCTGCCGGTTTAGCGCTTCCCATAAATGTAATAATTCCGTTTAACAATGTTATTCTGTACATTTGACTACACACAGAAGTAACTGCATCTTCAGCAGTTCTGTGATGACAATCCTCGTACTTTTTCCTCCGAGAACTTATTACTTTCTTAGTGTAAATTTTACACTTTTTTGTATGTGTTTTGGGCTCTCTCATATCTAAAAGCAGCTGAGGTGTGTCAGCGTCAAATGTCAGGGATATTTAGGGGTCAGTGTCAGACAATGGATGTTCATCACCTTTACAAAATTATACACCATTTTAAGCTAAATTATTAATTTATTATGGCCAGAACAATAAATGTGATAGAGGTACGGGTGCGGTCCTTAACAATATATTATTGATGGTTGTCTGAGGTATTTGACTCTCCCTCCTTGTGATAGTGATCTGGGAAAACAACACTGTTGTTGGGAGTTCCTCGACATTACCTGATCTTTGACTGTGGACTGGGGATGCTCCTCGATGCTTCTGCGAATGTGCGGGAGCTCATCTTTCTGGCTGTGTCTCTCGGGTCCTCTAAGCATTAGCAGGGACATGTCAGCCTCCTGAAGACGGCCTCGGCGCACCAGCCAGAACGGAGACTGTGAACACAACATCAGTTTTCTGATCACTCCAGCAGGGTCTCTCTCATGTGCACACCTTCCTGTCCACACGCAGGAATATACCTATTTCAACACCTGTCCTATTACATACGAGATATTTTACACAAACCAGCTTTTATTTTTACGGTAAAGAGATAAGAGGGGATTAATACAACTCTGTCCTCTGTCATCTTAGGTTAAGATGTATCAGTTAAACAAATGCAGGGACATTTGGGATGGCACACCATCAAATTAGCTTGAGTAATACTCAAACGGGTACATGTATATACCCATAGGTTCATGAACATTCACAATTAACCTCCGCCATGCTGAAATGTATTTATATATGCACTTATCCACTGTTATACTCTTAAGTCAAAATACCGTAGTTGTGGTAATCCACAAATCAGAAATGTAATCAGACGTTACAAGCCCTCATATTTTCAAGTCACTAGCAACGGAACAATAGCTCGTTTGGTTTAGTCCCTAGTTTGTAGGTAACTAGTGAATACGCAGCTGTTAACATCTTCAGCATCCCTATACACTCACCTCTGGAACTGCCAGCGTAAATAAGCAGAGAGGCAAAATAGGTACAGCACAGACAGCAGTCGCTAGTTGCCAGGAGAGGCGATGAGCCTGTACGTAGGCCACAAGCAGGCCTATGGACACCATCAGTTCCGGCAGGCAGCAGAACAGGCCGCGATAGTCCGGCTCGAGTAACTCTGCTAGAAGGGGACAGGTGATAGTTGTGATGACGTTAGCGAGTAGTGCCCCGCCTAGGCGACTCATGTATACCACGGGAAGGAGGGGTGTGAAGGCCTGCACCAACCAGAACAGTGAAGCAGGTACCAGCAGTAGTGTCAACAGTCGTCTGGGACCCACAACCTCCATCAGCGATCCAGCAGATAGGTTTCCAAGCATCCCCGCCAGGCCGATGCTAGATACTGGAAGGAATAGAGAAGTTGTGAGTTAGTTGTATGTAGTTCTATGAGTGTGAGAGGGTTTTATGTGAGAGGAAATTGCAGGTGTGTGGAAATACGTTGTCGGGATAAGAGTTGAGGTAAGAATATGGGCCTTGAACATAATTGCGGAATAGATGTGCACAACTGAGATTCATAAGGACCAAGATGAAAATAAATTACAGTTTTTTCTTTATCTCTGATTTAAATATGCATTTCTTGTTCCCATTGTATATAAAAATACTACTTAATGGACCCATTGTTGAAAGTTAATACATTTATAAATTTTAATCTGAATAAAACAGTCAATGCCAGACACTACAGTTAAAGAAATTTTTTTTGTTAATGTTTCTTTATCTTCGCTTTCTTAAATGTGCTGTATAACCCCTACGGGTTTAGCACACTATAAATATAATTCCAAAATGTTTTGGAAAAAACTAATTTTTCTGGATAAACTTGCTTTTCTAATTCCAAATATTCCACAAAACTGAGACTTATTTGGAGCATTTTTTTCCTTTGACCCAAAATATATTACAAACAGTCGAAATGGGTTTATTTAGGAACATTTTAATACTTTTTTATGAAAACTGAAACAAAGCTTTCAAAATAATAGTTGTCTTTCGATTACTACTTCTAAAAAATAACAGATAAACTTTATCTTTTATGTGAAAAGCAAAATCCTAGTGTACTAGGCGCAGCAAAATGTCAGAAGTTCCAGCCTCAGTTGACTAGTATCTCTCGACCACAATAAACAAATCCACCGCTTCTTAGTCTCTTAAGATTTGTTACTGAGATACGAGGTTCGTTGCCCTCTCTTGTTTATCTTTGTTATTAAATCTGTATAGTCCTTGTGGCTTAGCGCTTCTTTTTGATTATAATAATAATTTGTTATTAAATATCTGTAATCTTGGGAAAAAATAGACCAATGTAATAAAAAGCGAAGACTTTCAAGTGTTTCATGTTGTTCATGTTAGTTGCTATTCTAAATATACAGCTATGAAGCCTAGAAATGTGTTAGTTCACACACCCACCCACACACAAAGTCATGAAGATTGGGGAAGGGCAAAGAAGACCGCAGACAGAGTATAGACTAGGTGGACAAAGGCTGCAAACCTCACTCAAGGAGAAAGATCTTGGGGTGACCATAACACCGAGCATGTCTCCGGAGGCACACATCAACCAGATAGCTGCTGCAGCATATGGACGCCTGGCAAACCTGAGAATAGCGTTCCGGTACCTTAATGAGGAATCATTCAAGACACGTACACTGTGTACGTCAGGTCCATGCTGGAGTATGCAGCACCTGTCTGGAACCCACACCTGGTCAAGCACGTCAAGAAGTTAGAGAAAGTACAAAGGTTTGCAACAAGGCTAGTTCCAGATCTCAGGGGAATGTCCTACGATGAAAGGTTGAGGGAAATCAGACTGACGACACTGGAAGACAGAAGGGTCAGGGGAGACATGATAACGACATACAAGATACTGTGTGGAATAGATAAGGTGGACAGATACAGGATGTTCCAGAGAGAGGACACAGAAACAAGGGGTCACAATTGAAAGCTGAAGACTCAGACGAGTCACAGGGATGTTAGGAAGTATTTCTTCAGTCATAGAATTGTCAGGAAATGGAATAGCCTAGCAAGTGACGTAGTGGAGGTAGGAACCATACGTAGCTTTAAGACGAGGTATGACAAAGCTCAGGAAGCAGAGAGAGAGAGAGAGGACCTAGTAGCGATCAGTGAAGAGGCGGGGCCAGGAGCAGAGCTCGACCCCTGCAACCACAATTAGGTGAGTACACAAACACCCGCCCACACCCACCCACCCACACACAAACACACACCCACCCACACACACACACACACAAACACCCACCCACCCCCATTATACGTGACCAAGCAAATCTTGTGTGTTCTTACAATCCCTTCACACACACACACACACACAACACACACACACACACACACACACACACACACACACACACACACACACACACACACACACAAAAGAATAATTATAGGAATGACAAGGTGAATTATACAACCCACTGGTAGTTCCTATGTGTGATACTAATGCAGTTAGACAAGGCTACATCACAGCCTCCCTCTGAAGGATGAGAGAGGATGTAACAGTAGGGGGTAATTTGAATTGTGCTGTCAGCCCCTTGTATGGTGATAATTGTGTTTTCTTTGGGGTCACCCTGTATGGGTGAGAAACTAACGTCAAGTTTTATAGTCAGAGTATAAAATTTAATTTATATTTTATTTTTTTCAAAAATTTCATTTAATTTTTATATTTCATTTGATTTGATTTATTCATTTAATTTATTTATTTAAATTTATTAATTTATTTCAATTTATTAAAATTATTTAATTTATTTAAATTTAATTTAATTTGAATTTGTTTAAATTTATTTAAATATATTTAAATTTATTAATTTATTTTAACATTTAAAATTGGGACCCTTATAAGTAATGTATCCAAGTCTCAAACCCACACTCCTCACCTCACAGCCAGGCCATTATTAGAATTATGGTGGGTCGAGCCACCTCACCATCTATTCCCTATAATGAGGGAGCAATGGATACATCACATGTTAAGGCAATGGCCTGTGGCCAGGTAGGCAGCGCTCTCGTTTCACACGCTGTGTCCGAGGTTCGATCACCGACACGGGCGGAAAAATTGGGCGTGTTTCCTTACACCTGCTGTCCCGTTCATCTAGCAAGCAAGTAGGTACCTGGGTGTTAGTCGACTGGTATGGGTTGCATCCTGGGGGACAAGATTGAGGACCCCACTAGAAATAAGATAGTCCTTCGGTGCCTCTCTTGAATTACCTCGAGTGATAACCCTGCAGGGATAAAAATCCGAACAGAATATTACCTCTTATCTGGCCCCAGGAATGCTCTTGCAGTGTAGCGCGTGAGAGTAACTTCGTCTGCTATACCTTCGATTACTTACCCAGCCACTTGATGTCGTTGTCGGTGAGATTGAAAGAGGTAGAGTTGTCTGCTTGCAGGTCAGGAAGAACTGCTGGCCAGCCCAGCACCAGCCCCACTTGTAGCATTGTTGCTGATACCACCACTGCTACCAGTACCTGTAACACACAACCCCTTTGTTAGCAAGGCTGTTACGGAGGTTGTATAACACAACCCCTAATGTTAGCAAAGCTGTTAGGGAAGTTGCATAACAAAACCCCTCTGTTAACAAGGCTGCTGCAGGAGTTACATAACACATCAACCCTCCTGTTAAAACTGTTGCAGACACGTTTCACTACTGGTAATTTTAAAATCCATCGGTGGTGAAACGTGCTCAATGAGCTAACTTCTGTTATGCTGCATTTGGCAGTAGTGTCGCGATATCAAAAATTAAACCACATTTTCGTAATTACAATATAAGTTTTGTGTACACTCACTTAGTCTTAATTTGTTTATCTTGTTCCTAGAGCTACAACTAGTAGTGAAGTAGATTTAAAAAATGCATCTTCCTTCGTTTGTTATCATTTTAATCATATGGAAGCGCGAAACCCGCAAGGGGGTTATGCAGCCTCTGGGAGGCTTTCGGGTTCCACCCGAAGAACGGGAGGCTAAGTCTAGTTCCTTGGATCAAGAGCTCTTCACTTCTTGAGGAGTTACCTCTTCATCTTTGCTTTCTTTTTGCTTTTTCCTCTTATTTATTTTACCCACCTTGCAACTTTCTTTGCTGCAATATAAGTTTCTTTTTTTCTCTTGTTGTCTCTGCCACAGCTCCTCTCCTCTTCCATCCACACCCGTCTTCATCAATACCAATTTCTGTTTTGTGCGCTATTACGCCCTGGTCACACTTGTTGAAGGCTTTTGCAAAGTCTGTATATATTACATCTGCATTCTTTTTGTCTTCTAGTGCATTTAGGACCTTGTCGTAGTGATCCAATAGTTGAGACAGACAGGAGCGACCTGTTCTAAACCCATGTTGCCCTGGGTTGTGTAACTGATGGGTTTCTAGATGGGTGGTGATCTTGCTTCTTAGGACTCTTTCAAAGATTTTTATGATATGGGATGTTAGTGCTATCGGTCTGTAGTTCTTTGCTGTTGCTTTACTGCCCCCTTTGTGGAGTGGGGCTATGTCTGTTGTTTTTAGTAACTGTGGGACGACCCCCGTGTCCATGCTCCCTCTCCATAGGATGAAAAAGGCTCGTGATAGGGGCTTCTTGCAGTTCTTGATGAACACGGAGTTCTATGAGTCTGGCCCTGGGGCAGAGTGCATGGGCATGTCATTTATCGCCACAAATTTATGAGAGAGCCACAAATTTTGTGGCTCTCTCATAAAAAATTAATTTTGATCTTCGACTCTCAGTCTGGTTAGCGGCTTGCTAAAAACTGAGTCATATTGGGACTTGAGTAGCTCACTCATTTCCTTGCTGTCATCTGTGTAGGACCCATCTTGTTTAAGTAGGGGCCCAATACTGGACGTTGTTCTCGACTTTGATTTGGCATAGGAGAAGAAATACTTTGGGTTTCTTTTGATTTCATTTATGGCTTTTAGTTCTTCCCGCGATTCCTGACTCCTATAAGATTCCTTTAGCTTAAGTTCGATGCTTGCTATTTTTCTGACCAGTGTCTCCCTACGCATTTCAGATATATTGACCTCTTTTAGCCGCTCTGTTATTCTTTTCCGTCGCCTGTAAAGGGAGCGCCTGTCTCTTTCTATTTTACATCTACTCCTCCTTTTTCTTAGAGGAATAAGCCTTGTGCATACATCGAGTGCCACCAAGTTAATCTGTTCTAGGCATAAGTTGGGGTCTGTGTTGCTTAATATATCTTCCCAGCTTATATCGGTTAGGACTTGGTTTACTTGGTCCCACTTTATGTTTTCGTTATTGAAGTTGAATTTGGTGAATGCTCCATCGTGACTAGTCTCATTATGTCGGTCTGGGGCTTCACGCATACATGTCTGAACCTCAATTATGTTGTGATCTGAGTATATTGTTTTTGATATGGTGACATTTCTTATCAGATCATCATTGTTAGTGAAGATGAGGTCTAGTGTATTCTCCAGTCTAGTAGGCTCTATTATTTGCTGGTTTAAATTGAATTTTGTGCAGAGATTTAAAAGCTCGTGTGAGTGTGAGTTTTCATCAGAGCTGCCTCCTGGTGTTATTACTGCAACAATATTATTTGCTATATTCCTCCATTTTAGGTGCCTTAAGTTGAAATCCCCCAGGAGCAAGATGTTGGGTGCAGGAGCTGGAAGATTTTCCAGACAGTGGTCAATTTTTAACAGCTGTTCCTGGAATTGCTGGGATGTTGCATCCGGAGGCTTGTAGACTATCACAATGACTAGGTTTTGGTCCTCGACCTTTACTGCTAAAACTTCCACTACATCATTTGAGGCATTAAGCAGTTCTGTGCAAACAAGTGACTCTGCAATGTACAAGCCAACCCCCCCCCCCCCCCTTTTGCCTGTTCACTCTGTCACATCTGTATAGGTTGTAACCTGGGATCCATATTTCGTTGTCCAAGTGATCCTTTATGTGGGTCTCAGTGAAAGCCACGAACATTGCCTTTGCCTCTGCAAGCAGTCCACGGATGAAAGGTATTTTGTTGTTTGTTGCTGGCTTTAGACCCTGTATATTTGCAAAGAAGAATGTCATCGGACTGGTGGTATTGTTGGTACTGGGGGGATTTTTTTTCCGGCATTAGTATCTGTATCTGTTGGTTTGGAGTGGAGGCCATCGAATGTGGTTCCACTCCAGGAATGATTGGATTTGGTGTACGATTTCTGCCATTTCCTGCCAGTTTTTTTCCTTCCTGGCACTAAAAAACCTCTCCCTCTTGAGTGGCTGTGGCTACCCAGGTTTTCCCATGGCCTGGATGTTTTGTATCTTTTTGTCCCCTTTAGATGGTGTGCCTGGCAATTTAAGTTATAGCACAGTCTTTCCTGTACTGAAGAGGTACACATTTCAGGGTGAAAAAGCTTACAGGAAGGGAGTTTGCATTTTCCTGTTGTCATATGGGCACGGCATTTTCTAGGGTGGTCATAGTTGCACGTCCCGTCTGTTTTTCCAGATTTCCCATGTCTGCAGATACCAAGTGCATAGTATGTGCACAGGCTTGGTTTCCGTTTGCCTTGGGTTTCTGTGACTGTATTCTCTGTTGGTGCATGTTTCCCTGTCTTATTCCTATCCTCCCTAGCACCAACAATGGAGCTCCCACCAGTTGTTTTTGGTAATATATCCTAACTATTGTTAGTGGAGTCCTCTTGTTTGCTATTTCCTGTGGTATTTCTAGTTTGCAATATTGGTTTTATCTTATCTTTGACTACACTTGTTTCCCCACTATGGCTCCTGTCCCCTATGAGGTCATTTATATGTATTCCTTCCTGCGTATAATTCCCGACTACCTGGACAAAATCTCCAGCTTCACCATTACTGTCTCCCAGGACAGCACCTCCAGTTTCACCATTACTGTCTCCCAGGACAGCACCTCCAGCTTCACCATTACTGTCTCCCAGGACAGCACCTCCAGCTTCGAACATTAAAATGGTATAAAATACCGACAGGTTGTTAGGTAAGACACATATGCAACAGTTAGGTATCTTTATTTCGAAACGTTTCGCCTACACAGTAGGCTTCTTCAGTCGAGTACAGAAAAGTTGATAGAAGCAGAAGATACTTGAAGACGATGTAATCAGTCCATCACCCTTAAACGAACGGTCGAGCCTCAACCCTTGTTTATCAATCGCTGTATCTAGCTTTTCTAGTTTTTTTCTTCGTCTCCACCACAATAAATGCTATATTATCACTATAGTTGACTGGTGGAAATTTTGGAGGAAGGACGCTTTTTCTGTAGTAATAATTGCTTCTCGCTGTGTATATTGCGACCGCTGGTAACTACAGGTTATATGAGATTCATAGTATACGTCTGGTATTTCAAGAAAAAAGAAACTAATGAAAGTCACTCCACTCCACAAAGTACCATTATAATACTGGTTAGTTGCTACTACAACACTGTATTCTGCTATTCACTGGTATCACTAGATTATATGCGAGAACACTAGCAGGCCAGGAAGATTATCAGAACAGCTGACCTGTGGTAAGATTCTGGCGACTTCTGGCACCTGCCTCTATAGGCTTATCACTTCATTTACAAATTCACCTGTTTTCAAATGACACTTTAGCCTTTATCATCTATATACTAGGGAGCCACTGTAGTATACACTATACACTATGTATACACAATGTTATCAGGGAGACTTTCTTTCCTCTGACAAAGAAAAGTTCTATTATTATTATTTTGCACACGGTATATGTGCAGTGTCCGTAGAATATAAGCACCGTACGTAATATAAGCACCGTACGTAATATAAGCAGCGTACGTAATATAAGCACCGTACGTAATATAAGCACCGTACGTAATATAAGCACCGTACGTAATATAAGCAGCGTACATTGCATACAAGTCGCGTAAGTGGTGTATGTCACGTTTGTGGTGTATACGTCATGTACGTAGTTTATATGTCATGTACGTAGTTTATGTCATGTATACCTGGAGAGGGTTTCGGGGGTCAACGCCCCCGCGGCCCTGTCTGTGACCAGGCCTCGTGGTGAATCAGAGCCTGATCAACCAGGCTGTTACTGTTTGCCGTATGTAAGACAAGATTTGTTTGAATTTTTTACCCAGGAAAGTGTTAGCCACCCAGGACAACCCAAGAAAGTCAGCGCGTCATCGAGGGACTGTGCTGTATTTCCATTGTGGTCCTTCATTCTTGTCTCCCCAGGATGCCACCCACACCAATCTACTAACACCCAGATACCTACTTACTACATGAGCAGGAACAGCAGGTGTAAGGAAACATGTCCAACGTTTCTACCCATGTCGGAGATTAAACCCCCCATGAGAGCGTTGCCAACCGCGCCACGGGACGTGGCATGTATGTCCCGTGGTTCAATCCGCGTCATGGGTGGAAACGCTGAGCATGTTTCCTTACACGTGCTGTAAGGAAGTTGGTACCTTGGTACGTAGTAGTAAGTTGGTACCTGGGTGTTAGTTGACTGGTGTGGGTGGCATCCTGGGGGACAAGATTGAAAGACCACAGTCCTCGGTGACGCACTGACTTTCTTGGGTTATCCTGGGTGGCTAACCCCCTCCGGGTTAAAAATCCGAGAAATTTTTAATCTTTACGTGTATACGTAATGCATGTGCATACAGGTACGTGGTATACCTGGAGTTTACCTGGAGAGAGTTCCGGGGGTCAACGCCCCCGCGGCCCGGTCTGTGACCAGGCCTCATGGTGGAACAGGGCCTGATCAACTAGGCTGTTACTGCTGGCTGCACGCAATCCAACGCACGAGCCACAGCCCGGCTGGTCAGGTACCGACTTTAGGTGCCTGTCCAGTGCTTGCTTAAAGACAGCCAGGGGTCTATTGGTAATCCCCATTACGGTTGTGATATATACATGTGTATACACCACGTGCGTGCTGTTTACATGGCATGCGTGGTGTATGAGCCGCGTTCGTAATGCATAATAGGCTGGGCGTACATGGTGGTACAACATGAGCAGAAACGGTAGTGGTGATGGTGGTGGTGTCGGGTAACGCGTCGGTGGCTGTGTGACCTGTTCTTATCCTCACCGCTACTGCTGGTGTACCCCATCCACACACACACACACACACACACACACACACACACACACACACACACACACACACACACACACACACACACACACACACACACACCTGCAACCACAAATAGGTGAGTACACCTGAGTAAGGAGTCATTCAAGACACTGCACACCGTGTACGTCAGGCCCATATTGGAGTATGCAGCACCAGTATGGAACCCACGCCTGGCCAAACACGTTGAAAAATTAGAGAAAGAGGAAAGGTTTGCAACAAGACTAGTCCCGGCGCTAAGGGGTATATCCTACGAGGAGAGGTTAGGTAAATCAACCTGACTACACTAGAGAACAAGAGGGATGGGGAGGGGGGGGGGCATGAAAACGACATATAAAATACTGAGAGGAATTGACAAGATAGATAGGGACAATGTTTCAGAGATGGAACACAGCAACAAGGGGTCACAACTAGAAGTTGAAAACGCAGATGAGTCACATAGATGTTAGGAATTATTTAGACAGAATCCATACATAAAGTTACGAAAAAGTACCATAAAGCTCATGGAGCAGGGAATGTGTGGACCTAGCAGCAACCAGCATGGAGACGAGGCCAGGAGCTATGAATCGACCCCTGCAACCACAAATAAGTGAGTACACACAGACACACACACACTAGAGGGGTAATTAGTGGATGAGATGGAGTGGATGGTTGGAAAGTGCCGGGAGGCACAGGAAAACTTCATACTTAGAAAAGACAAAGAGAGACCGTAGTTCAACCAAAGATGCAATAGCAAACAAAAAAGTGTACGAACATGGAAAAACTGAAGGAAGCCAAAGACAAATGAGAAGAGAAAAGTGAGCAGCTTAATCAGAAATGAATATGTAAGGTTGAGGAGAAAGACTGTGAACAATAATTTGAGAATGACAGCAACCAAGGCTCAGTCTGAACCAAAACTGCTTGTCACGTCAGAAGAAAAACAACTGTGAAAGACCAGGTAAGTCAACTAGAGGAGGAGAAACCACGGAAGATAACGAGGAAGTCTGCAAATTATTTTATCATAATCCCCCCCCCTACAGACGCTGTATAATCCCGCAGGGATTATACAGCGCCTGTGGGGGATGGGAGATGGAAAGTATTCAGGCTCCATTCAGGGAACTGAAGCACAGATCCAGTTCTCTAGATCAAGAGCCCCTCACTAGCGTCAAGGAACCTCCCTTGACTGGTGGAAGTCTGCAAAAATGCTGAACAAACTATGAGTTCTAAAGTACTCCATCAGATTAATTAGGGACGTATCAGTCGAGTAAGATTTCCTGAAACCTGGCTGGTAACGATGGAGTATAATTTTGTCAATAAAGCTACCTAACTATGTACCTGACAATACACCGCTTTCACTAGAATCTTGGACATGCTGAATATCCAACAAGCTTATAATTGCTGACCTCACACCTGCTGATAGCAGGTGTGAGGCTTCTGGCCTCCTTTAACTCTTCCGGTACTCTACTGGTGATATTGGATAAATGTATTATGATATGTGGACTGACAATTCGGAGGCACCAACTTTTAGGAATCTGGCTGGTCCGATGTTTAGTTTAACTTCTCTACCTGGAGTTCATTACCTTTGTAACTTGCTCAGCTATCAAAACTTTGGGGTCCAGTCCCTGGACCCATTATGTACCTCTGTAATCTTTTGACTACCGCCCGCAGGATGGGTATGGGGTGCATAATAAACATATTAAACTAAACTAACTTCTTTCCGTAAGAAGTCATAAGATATACCTAATAATTGGAAACTGTTTTTGAGGGTCACGGTTTTATTACTGTAGTAAGGTTTAAAATTATTGGAGTCTGTACTGAAGGTACTTGATGTAGCAGTTTACTGACTGATGATGCAGTAACTGTGTACAATGAACTGACACAACTTGCCACATTAGTTGTTTCGTGGCATACTTCGCTATCAGTATTTAGCACCTTGTACAATTGAAATACAGGTTGAGAGTTATTCCCCAATGCTTTTAGTTGTTGTCATAGCTTTCTATGATTTTTCTTGTATTCTTCTATTTTTGCCCCTATTATAAGCTTCCGCGTTCTGTTCCTTACCCCCTGTGAAATTCATTAAGCACTGCAACATCCTGTTTGTTTGCCCTAAATCTTTTCCAATATCTCCAGTTATCCTAACCTCTAACTGGTGCAATATCATCAAGGATGGTGATGAATATTGTTCAAATTTTTGTCCCCAGGCATCATTTACCTCTACGCAACTGTTTCCACAGTGATAGAACAATGAAATGGGAGACAGGAGAAAGTAGCAAGCGCATATATCAGTGAAAACTTTGATTATTTAATAGATTAAACGATGAATGCAGGACACAACGAGCATAAGTCTGTTCGCTAGTTACATATATGTAACCATATATTGGTGATGAAACACCTGCACGCAAGGCAGCATACATCAAATACACAGGATCATTTACTACCCGTGTCAAAGAAATAATATTGTATTACAGCTACTGGGGTAGTGATCACTGCGTACTGACTGTCAACTACCTAACAAAAACTTGAACAGTGTAAATAAAAGGCGACATTAAAGGAGCGAAATTTCCTGAGTGAGACGTGAGGGGAAGAAAAGTTCGCCTAAGAAAATGGTGTGCCTCATCAGGTGCTGGAAAGTGGGAGATGCATCACCACCACCACACCTTCATCACTCTTCATCGCGGTAGACACCTCAGAGGTCAGCTGATGACCAGTGTGTTAACGGACCTTGACTCACCTGCCTGATGAGAGCGTCCCAGCAGTAAGCTTCACGTGGGGGTGAGTCACTCATCCTGACTGACTCTTAAGGGGTACGCAGTCTGCTACCTGAGGAAGAAGGGTGAGAGTGAGACCGACAAACACACACATTTAACAGACCAAGTCTCTAACAAAGGCCTTTGACAATAACTAATACTGTACACACACAAAAAAAAAAAAAAATCTAGTAGTGTGAACCAGTGATCCTGACATCCTAAATTTTGAATACTTAAATGAAAACGGAGCTGGAAAGAATTGTTTATAGAGAAGCGCTGTACCTGGAGGGCGCCATACAACACTTGGCGAATTGGAGGCAATCGAGTTCGATCCGAAAAGACAGATCCAATTTCTTAGATCAAAAGCTCTTCACCAGAATCATCTCCCTTAAGGGAGATGGAGATGGAAATAAGCAGCAGCATATCAGAACACAGAGAAGGGAACTATTAACAGATATAAACTGCCAAGGAAAAAATGAGCACGTGACAAGGAGAAGTACAAAGTTATGGGGAAATACAAGAGGACTTGCAAGAAATACAAAGCACAAGAAAAATACAAAAAAAAAATGGGAAATAAGCAGAAGAGCTAGGATCGAATGCAGGAAAACAGGAATGAAAGAAGACCTTGAAAATATTATCGTTTCAGAGGTAAGATAACCAAAGTTAATCCAATCCAGTAAAAATGAAAACTGCAGTAAAGTACTGGGTTAAAGGCTGAATAATATGGGAAGGGAAGTAACGGTGGCGGACTGACTGACAAAGACCTCTGCAAAATATTCGAGGTCTTCACAGGAGAGGGAAGCTATTCTGCCTAAAACCAGGGAAGCCAGTACAAACAGAACCTGGACACCATCAACACAAGAAAAAAAAATTAAAACTACAAAATGATCTTGACGTAAAAGTAGCGAGGAAAAAAAAAGTATTGAAGGAAGCAGCAGACCCAGTGTTTTTGTCAGTATCAAAAATTATCAGTCTCCAAATGAAACACGTACGTACGTACGCACGCGTGCTGTGTGTGTGTGTGTGTGTGTGTGTACTCACCTAATTGTGGTTGCAGGGGTGTGTGTAGTACTCGCCTAATTGTGGTTGCAGGGGTGTACTCACCTAATTGTGGTTGCAGGGGTCGATACTCAGCTCCTGACCCCGCCTCTTCACTGATCGCTACTAGGTCCTCTCCCTCTTTGCTTCCTGAGCTTTGCCATACCTCTTCTTAAAACTATGTATGGTTCCTGCCTCCACTACTTCACTTGCTAGGCTATTCCACTTCCTGACGACTCTATGACTTCCTAACGTCCCTGTGACTCGTCCGAGTCTTCAGCTTCCAATTGTGACCCCTTGTTTCTGTGTCCCCTCTCTGGAACATCCTGTCTCTGTCCACCTTGTCTATTCCCCGCAGTATCTTGTATGTCGTTATCATGTCTCCCCTGACCCTTCTGTCCTCCAGTGTCGTCAGTCCGATTTCCCTCAACCTTTCATCGTAGGACATTCCCTTGAGCTCTGGGACTAGCCTTGTTGCAGACCTTTGTACTTTCCCTAACTTCTTGACGTGCTTGACCAGGTGTGGGTTCCAGACTGGTGCTGCATACTCCAGTATGGGCCTAACATACACAGTGTACAGTGTCTTGAACGATTCCTTATTAAGGTGTCGAAACGCTATTCTCAGGTTTGCCAGGCGCCCATATGCTGCAGCAGTTATTTGGTTGATGTGTGCCTCCGGTGACGTGCTCGGTGTTATGGTCACCCCAAGATCTTTCTCCCTGAGTGAGGTCTGTAGTCTTTGTCCACCTAGCCTATACTGTCTGCGGTCTTCTTTGCCCCTCCCCCTCGCCTAATTGTCGTTGCAGGAGTCAATTCATAGCTCTTGGCCCGTGTTTGTTTGTTTTTGTGTCTTCATCAAACAACAGCGAGGACCCCTCTATTTTGAAATGCCATATTTCCAAACAACAGTACCGTAATTCAAGTTCAGATTCTTCACGCAATTTTGCACACAAGGAAATTCCTATCGCTTTCGTGTTAAGTCAGATACAGTATCATAAACGCACAGTCTCTCTCAGCATAACTAATACGCTTGACATGATGACAAGAAAAACAAGATTCATACTTACCTTTAAGAATAATGTTACCAGGAGCACCAAGTTGTAGAAGCTAGGTGACAGACGTGTTGAGGCGGAGAACACGAAGTTATGTAATGTGTAGAGGCTGAGCAGAAGACCTACACTCACTGTGTAGAGTATACAAAGCTACACTGCTAGAGGCAGTGCAATACACAGCTACATCTACAAGACACGGTGTAATACAAACCTACTCGTATGATGTCACCTCTCACACTACATCACATCACGCGCTCAACACAAGATGGCTTATTAAGGTACGATAATTATAACTTAAGTGTATTTTTTACCATCTGTGATTTCTACATTCGCTGATAAAGTATATCCTATACTCCATTTATCTTTATTGTACTGAGGGGGCCTCTGAGGCGTGGGATTTTTTCTTTTTTTTTTGTGGCTTTACCCGTGACATTAAAAACAGGCAGACATTCCTGTTATATTCATGAGACTGCTAAACTTATAGGGAACGTAGTGCCTTGAAAATGGCAAATAAATAAGGGAGGCTCGATATAAGGAGAGGATAGCCACGTTTCCCTTGGATCAAGAGCCCTTCACTGCCATCAAGGATCCCCCTCCCCTTTAAAGGGACGCTATTAATATGAAAAATTAGAACAAATGAGTACTCCAGTATGTTCACACACTTCAAAATTGAATTATGAAAACAGAAAAGGTAATTATACTTCATATTCCATTATTATATTATAATCATAACCAAGCGCTAAATTCACAAGGGTCATAGAGCGCTCATTTCAACATACCACTGATCAAGGCCCCCTATAGAAGAACAGGTGTACAATAGCTGTTGTTAAAATGCAAGTCACCGGATTTACGTCACATCACAGATTTAGCTCACTGGTCAACATTCATTTTCTGGCCAATGATATTACACAAATTTGAGGGTAAGTTTGTGATGCTGACTGAACTTAGACTGGAGACTGAGGGAGATTAACACCCAGTCAATCCACTTACCATGTCTATGGTGCATCCAACAAAATAAGCCGACCCTGATATCACTACCGCTCGGCTTGGCTGGGTTACAAATATAATATATGGGAAGTTGCGTCACATCACCAGCATGAAAACCAAATTTAAATTTTGCCAGAGGGACTATTTTCACATTGTATCATTATGTGCATTAGTGTGATAAAATTGTCGACTACATAGAACCTGCTCACGAATGTTGAAGAAATGTCAAAGTATTTTATCCACATTGGTATATCAACCATTTTGAAAAAATACCCTGGCAGCCTCTTGCAAAAATGCAAATTATAATCAAAACCACTAGGGTCATACAGTGCTGCAGGGCAGGGGAGAAGGGGTGTTGCTGAACAGAGTAGCCGGGGGTGAAGAGGATAACAGGGTAGAGTTAGAAAGGACTGTGAGGAGAGCTAAATTATGATCAAAGTTTGTGTAATAAATCTGTTGCTGTCAAAAAGTCAAAGAGGGAGTCTGTGTCAAAGGTGGGGCCATCAGGAAGGGGGGAAGATAAATACACAAATAACCCGCACATAGAAGAGAGGGGCTTACGACGACGTTTCAGTCCGACTTGGACCATTTACAAAGTCACACTAACGAAAAGGCGAGCAGGATGGGTATATATAGGCAGGAGGTGGTAGTAATAGTGGAGATGGAAGGAAGTAGTAGTAGAGGTGGAAGGTAGTAGTGGGGAGATGGTAAGAGAAGGAGGGGCCAGTCAAATACTAAGAAGGAGAAGCACTGCAAGGGAGCTAGGTGCCCACAGAGGGTATGAGCAAGAACACCGAGGGGGGGGGGAAACAAATAAATAAGCTCCTCTCTTCTATGTGCGGGTTATTTGTGTATTGTTCCAGTCACGGTATTGTGCCTTTTTGTTATTTAGGGAAGATAAAGTAAGGGTGCTAGAGGGGTGATGACATGAGGTAAATTCTGTGTGCTCGTTGAAAGACAGGACAATCAAACAGAATAGGGGAAACTGAAATTGGAACCTGACAGTTCTCAGAGTGGGACTCTGCCTCTCCACAAATTACCCATGAGTAAGACTGGTGTGCCCGATGCTAAGACAGAGCGCAGTCTCCCATTCTCAGCATTGATAAGGTCAGAAACAAACTTGGCTTGATGGAATATAATTTCTTTCGAGTCATATCAGACCAACGGTGTTGCCAACAGTTGCAAAGGCAGAGATTACAGCTAAATAATCTGAGAATGGAATACCTCTGAGACTGAAAGGTCATATACTGCTGACCGTGCAGAAGTCCACCTGCTCATTGCCTTGAACAACATGACCATGGACCCAGAAGAAAACGATTTCTTTGTTTTTGCTAGAAATGCTGCACAACCAAAGTTTTATATGAAGAACTAGGGGATGAGGAGAATCAAATGTTTTAATAGCTTTCAAAGCACTAAAGGAGACTGAGATTACTACAAACGTTGAGGTAGGCATAGATGCAATATGGATAATCGCAATGAAAATTACGTACAGTTCAGCTGTAAAAATGCTAGCAGTCTAGTCTAATAAACGACTTCACACAACGCTGTCTGGGATCACTGTTGCAAACCCGACGCCATCAGAGGATTTAGAACCATAAGAATGAGACCGGAAGTGGTTGAGAAAAAGGGAGCGAGAAGCAACTGTAGGTATTGGAGCTTTCATGCATGGCAATGAGGAAGAACAGACATGAATTGTTGGGGGAAGAGAAAAGTTATAAACAAAGGGAGAAACTAAAGAGAAGTCAAGAGCAAGTGAAGATGAAGAGAAAAGGGAAGGAGTAAACAGGGGGGTGGCAAACAAATAATAAACTTGTACTAACATCCATTACTGTCCTGCATGTAGAAGGATCATGAAGGTCATGAGAGGGGACAAAATAATGGAGTCAGTGAGCATCACGGCAATCATCAAGGATGGAACATTCACCTCTGCATATAGCCTCACGACATGTGAGGAGCAAAAAGCACCTAGACAGACGTAGTGCCTGATGATGAACGGGATCAAGTTTAGAAAGAGTTGCAGGTCGCACAATAGATCTGGTCACCATAATCTAGTTTTGATAAAATTATGGCTAAATGCAGTCAAAGGAGAGCTCAACAATCTGCCCCATGAAAGATGAGCAAGAGTTTTAAAGAGGTTCAGCCAGCTATGGCAAGTTGCTTTCAGGGAAGTAATAAGAGGTTTCCAGGACAGCCAGTGCTCAAACAGATGGCCGAGAAATCTGACCATTGGTCAAATTTCTCGCCCGTCAGGGATATAGGAGCCATACAAGTACAATGGAATATCAAGACAATAAAATGTCTGGCAAAAGTAGTTTGGCAAGTTTTAGCACCAAAAAATTTAAACCCATGAGCAGTAGCCCAATGGGATACATGGTTGATATTCTTCCAGTGAGGCTGCTATTAGGCGGCAGCAGCCAGCACTGACACAAGCTATAGCAGTCATCAACAAAGTGATGACCAAATATTAGATGGGAGAACAGAGGCCAGATCATTTATAGCTAGTAGAAAAAATGGCGCAAAGTACACATCCAGGAAAGCAAATTATTAACCTTAACACTGAACTTTCAAGTTTTTAAGGAAAAGTGGCAGATTGCCTCGGAGACCTAAGAAATGAGCTTGGGCCAAGATGTCATACCTCCAGTGTCATATGCCTTAAAAAAACAAAAAAGACTAAAATAACCGAGTGGTTACTAGCAAAGGCATTACAAACACAGGAATTAAGTGGAGTAAGGCATCAATAGTTGAGCTGCCCTTATTAAAGCCAAACTGACTAGTGGAGAGTGACTTAATACCATACCAAATGACTATTTACTAGACATTCCATTAAACTGAACTGGTAAGAGCAATGGGAAGATAGTGTGAGGCATCATGGCCCAAAGTACCTGGTTTATGAAAAGGCAGAACAATGGCAATTTTCCAGTTGGGGAAGAACCCCCTTGCGACCAAACAAGATTAAAATGACGTAAGAGGACTCTAAGGGCCAACTGATGTAAATGTTGAAGAATGTGAACATGAATGCCAGTAGTTCCAGCTGCTGGCGATTGGCAAGTGAAGTGTTTACTTCAGTTCTAGAAGCATAAAATGCACACAAAACTCATCTCTGCTAGAAGTGTAAAGGCAGTAACTCTTCTCGTGCAAAGAAGGAGAGAGAAAAAAAAAAAAAATTGAGGGGCATTGATGGAGCCCCTGAGAGATATAGACAAGATTTTCAGTCTGTGGCAACTTCAAGACAGCTTGCAATGCCAACACCAGCAACCCAAAGAATGGGAGCTGGGTTTGGAGAATACAGTGGACTCCCGCTTTACGATCAGCTCCCAATGCGACCAATTATGTAAGTGTATTTATGTAAGTGCGTTTGTACGTGTATGTTTGGGGGTCTGAAATGGACTAATCTAATTCACAATATTCCTTATGGGAACAAATTCGTTCAGTACTGGCACCTGAACATACTTCTGGAATGAAATAATATCGTAAACCGGGGGTCCACTGTACTTGCCACTCAATTTTTGTACCATTTCCAAGCTGCACTCAGGAAGCCTAAGTAACAGAAAAATCCTGCCAACAAGCACATTTAACTTCATGGATGAAGTTGTCAGTGCCCCATGGCCCAGTGACTAAAGCTCTCGCTTCACACTGAGGGTCTGGGTTCTATTACCAGTGAGGGTAGAAACATTGGGTATGTTTCTTTCCACCAGTTTTCTATGTTCCCATCAGTAAAATGGGTACCTGGGAGTTAGTCGACTGGTGTAGGTCGCATTCTGGGACAAAGACCTAATTTGCCTGAAATGCTCTGCATAACAAGCAGCTTTCTATACAGTAGTATGTGTCAGCTAGGCCTGTATACCTTGTACATATAAAAAATAAATTTATTAACCGCTCTCCCAGCACAAGCAGGGAGACCACCAAAGCATCCATTTCCGAGAGTGCCTACTCGAAGTTCGAGTGATAAGATGAGACGCTGTAGTTAAAATCAGCGGTCAAAAATGGTTGTAACAGTTCATCAGCAGAAGACAAAGGTTTCTTACTAAACACAGCTTGACAAGTACAGGTCCCAATTCACCTGTTCAAATTGCCAACATGGGCTTTGAGGAGAGCGAGAATACGAAAGGGAAGCAAGGATAGTTAAATATAGCAATCGTGTAAACCTGGGAGCACAGACCAGGTAAAGTTAAGCACAGCTGAGGAGCAAACAGATAAGTGTGAGAGATACTGAATGCAAGGGTCAAAATGGGTGGAAGCACCAGTATTTAAACGAGGGGAAGACGCGAAAAAAAGACGAACTGATCGCGAGTTAGTGAGACCCCCCTCCCCCAGAGGAAATGATGAGTATTTAAATCACCTGTTAACAAGAGGTGACAGTAAGGAAGAAACCAGAAGTGCAACATCTAAATGGATTATGCTCGAGGAAAAAGATAAAGAGCAGACTGTATACCACTTGTTCAAGTAGATGCAGGCTGCAGAGTAATGAAGCAAAGTACAAACGAAGATCTGATTGTGGTTCACCATGCATAAAAGTGCACAGTCATTAAAAGTTGCATCAAGAAAAGGATCACTGTCTGATGAATGCAATAAAATATAGCCCAAGACAGGATGGATAACAGCAGAGCATAGTTTAGGTTCTTGTAAACAGACAAATTAGGTAAAAACTGGGAGAGCAACACACGAAGCTCACCCCAAATTACCCCAAAGGCCTCAAATATTCCACTATAGTCAATTTGTAAAGAGAAGTATACTGGTAACATGAAGCAATGTCTAAGGACTATGTGGGTTAGTAAAGTATGTGGAAATAGCAGAAAAATAATAAGCAGCAAAGGATTTGAACACTGCAAAATCAGGAGCTGTATAGATGGTTTAGAAAAGGGAGGAGTGATGGGAAGTGGACTAGAGTCCATCACTGGTTTTATTTCCTCAATGTATTCAGAGATAGCTTCAAGTGTTTCAGACAAGGAAGTTGCAGGCAGTACAACATCAGAGATAAAAGGGGAGGGCGAGTCAAGACAGAGATGATGAAAGTTACCCAAGAAGGATAGGGGAGGGGGAAGGATGAGAAGTTAGAGGTAAATTGGGAAGAAACTTGGGAGGGGAGAGTAGGAAACTCTGAGGAGTGAGGAAGGTTGGAGGAAGCTCCATACCCATTAACAGACAGTAATAGGTGAAGTACTAGGCACAGACTAGAAAGAAAAATATGTTTGGGAAGGATAAGTGAAGGAGGGGTCCAAGGAGATTTGAACTTTGGGGATGTTTTAGACTGGAGTAGTGGCAAAAGGAAGGTGTAGCTGTGGGAGGTCTTGTAGATGTAGAAATACTAGAGCGAGAAGACGAAGACAAGGACAAGGAGAGTACGAGGCAATGAGTTCAGGGCTGCCAAAGTTAGATGCAGAGGTGACGAAGTCGTGGTCACAGAACATTGGGGAATTGGGTACCATCGAGGTTGGAGGCCTCTTAGTGACTTTGAATAAAATAGTGGGAGTCTCCCTTGGAGACAGACAAAAGTGCCATGGTGTAACCAAAACCTCTCTGAGACAGCTGATTTCTTGTTCTGTCAAGTAAACTTGGCAATGGTAAGAATAAGCCGAGTGAGCCTTGTTGCAATTAAGACAAGAGGGAGGCAGGCTGCAGGATGTATTGGTTTGGTCAGCAGCACCACAGGCTGTGCATTCTGCAATGGACCCAAAATATTTCACTGGATGGCCCAATACATGAGCAGTTTCTACCGTTGTGGTGTAGGGATCAACTCTGATTTTTAAACCGTGCCCAGCAATATAAAGAGGACAGAAGTTCTCGGCAGTCAAAAGTTAAGAGCTATGTACATTGCAGGAGAAGCATCTCTGCACATGGGCAGGTAGTACACAAGTGTCCACAGAACTGGGACACTTATGTACTACCTTGAGCCTTGGATTATTATTATAATCAAGGGGGGAAGCGCTAAACCCGGAAGATTTATACTTGCGTCCTGGGGGGGTGGGGGGATTGTGGAAGGCATCAGGCTTAATCGGGGGAACTGAGCACAGATCCAATTCCATATAATCAGGAGCCCTCACCCAACATCAAGGGGAGAGCCTTACTTGAGGGGCTTGCGCCTTGGAGCTCCATGTTGCTCCAGATTATGCATCCATTGTCCTGAAATCACATTGAACAATGGTACGGAGGGAGAAACTACAGATACCACTGCAAGAAAGAGATACTGTGTTTTTGAAATAATGACTGGAATTTGTCTAAGGAGGTAAGATGGAAAAGATTGTGAACCTGGCCAGCATGCCAGTACTGTGATTATGCTATGCACCTCTCATAGAGCATGAATTATATCTGGTACCTATCATAGCATACGGAGTGCGTGCTGTTACTATGAAATCCGAAAGCGTGGGAGATGTTCTGAACAAACTTAGGTCCAGTTGTTGTACTTCGAGACGTACTGTGTAGGGGAGAGTGTCATTCGGGTATCTCTAGGTAGGTGGGGGGTAATCGAAGTAGTGTTATCTGTTGATGGTCATTTGGCGTGTGGGACTGGAGGTGGTTCTTGTTCAGAATGGGCAGGCAATCTGATAAGTCATATCTGTAGAGGGAAAAGCCGAAGCTTGTCAAAAGAGGTCATTATTATTATTATTATAATCAAAAAGAAGCGCTAAGCCACAAGGACTATACAGCGCTGCAGGGCAGGAAGGAAGCGAGGGGCATCAGGTCGCAAAAGGGAGATGGATATGAGCAACAGGTTACGGATAACAGCGGAGGTGTGGGATGGTGAATAAGGGTAAAGGGTCAGCAAGGACTGACAGAAAGGGCTGAGGGAGAGTGCGAAAAGTATTTCATCAGAGTTTGTGGGTAACTCAGTCGTTGTCAAGAAGTCATCGAGAGAGTCAGGATAATAGGAGGGTCATCAGCAAAGAAGGGAAGGTATAGAGGAGAGTAGGAGAGCGAAGACGACGTTGGAGGTAAATTTGCGTGCTCGTTGATAGAGAGGGGCAGTCTAACAGAATGTGCTAATCGTTACTGGAACTTGGAACCACTGCTCACAGAGAGGAACAGGGTGCCTCTCCATGAGATACCCATGAGTAGACGAGTGTGGCACATTGCGAATGGGGTGAGATTGTGGTCTCCCAACACGGCACTGATGACAAGAACGACGGCGTAACTATGCTCGGTTTAATAGAATGAAGTTTTGATAACGAGCAGAGTTGACAACGGTTTTGCCAACGGGGTGCGAAGGTGGGTAGATATTAGCAGCACATTAGTCCAGAAATGGAACACTCGATAGGAAATTGGTAGGTCATATTACTGCTGACGCGCAGCAGTGTCTGCCTGTTCATTGCCTGTATGTCGAATGGACCAGGGACCAACAAAAAACAATTCTTTATGTTTGGTAGAGATTCGGCCGTAGCCAAAGTTGGATACGGAGAGAACTAGGGGATGAAGATTGTATCAAATTTTTCGTTAAAGCCTGTAGAGCACACTAAGGGAGTCTGAGACTAACTACAAATGATGACACAGGCATAGATGCGATACGAATAAGTGCTGCAAGAATGGCATACAGTTCAGCAGTAAAATGCTAGCTGAAGATAGTAAAATGCCCTGTACGACGCTTGAGTCCGTAAACACTGCTGCGAATCCGACGCCGTCTGAGACTTAGAAGCATCTGTGTACCCGCGGTGGCATGAGAATGAGAGTGGAAGTTGATCAAGGGAAAAAGAGGCGGGAAGCCACCGTAGGCAGTTGAGCTTTCGAGCCAAGGGAGTGAGAACGAACAGACCGAACAGCTGGAACTTCCAGGGGGGTAGGGAAAGTGAGAAGATGCTACATGAACATAATAAAGGTGGTAAACTGAGGGAAGACATAGAGTGAAAGTAGGCGAAGGGAAAAGGGACGGAGCAAACGGGGCGGAGAACGATAAGAATGTCTATAATATCGGTGACATATTGTATAATGGGAAGGATTGGTGTAGATCGTGAGAGCGTACATAGTAACGAAGGCAATGGGCATCACGGCGATCAGACAAGGATAGGAACCATTTGCTTCTGTATAGAGGGCTCTCAACAGGGGAGAGCGAAAAAAGCACCAAGGCACAAACGTAAGCTTGGTGATGGTAGATAGAGTTATGGTAGAGAGAGTAGCAGGAGGAGGCCGCGGAATAAATTGGTCACCATAATCGAGTTTGATAAAAACGAGGGTGAATGTAGGCGAGCAGAGTTCGACATCAGCCCAAGGAAAAGTTGAGCAAGGGTTTTTACGAAGTTTAGCCGGCTGTGGACAAGTTGCCTTCAGTGAGTAATGTGAGGTTTCTCAGGTTAACCGAACGGTCAAAGAGAAGGCCTAGAAACCTGACTGTATCACGTCGGGGATACGGGAGCCATAGAGACTACAAAGGATGATCGGTGATAACAGAGCGTCTAGTGTAAGTAATTTTGGTGAGTTTTGGTACTTGAAAATTTAAACCCATGTGGTGGTGGCCCAGTGGAAAACACGGTCGAGCGCTGGAGAGAAAACTGCAATAAGGTGACAGTCAGCGCCTGCCAAGCAATAGCGAAGTCCATCAACATAGAGTGTGACCAAATTTTGGTGGAATGAACAGAGGCAAAATCATTATAGCAAGGAGAAAAAGTGGCTGGGCTTAGAACACTTCCTGTGGGACACCTTCGCTTGGGGGACGAAGTCGGGGAAAGAACATTTTGACTCGAACAGGAAATGTCTAGTCAGTTAAACAAGTTCTTATGGAAGGAAGGTTTAGATTGCCTCGGAGGCCTAAGGAATGGGCCTGGCCAAAATATTATACTCCAAGTTGTGTATATGCCTTTCAAGGTCTCCAAAAAATATGTGGGGTCCCCCCCCAGTAACTGATGATTATTGCAAAAGGCATTACGAACATACGTATCCAAGCGTAGTAAGGGGTCCTATGGTAGATCAACCTTACGAAAGCCATATTGTCTAGCGGAGGATGTTGTGAGTCTCTAAATACCACATTCAAACGTCGATTTACGAGCGTTCCATCACTTTGCAAACTGCACTTGTAAGAGCGATGGGGCGTTAGGTTTAGTGGGAGGCATCATGTCTGTAGTACACGGTTTGCGGAAAGGGAGAAACAATGGCAGATTTCACAGCTGGGGAAGATACTCCTTGTGCCCAAATAAGGATTGAGAGGTGTAAGAGGACTACAAGGCTGACGATGTAAAGTTGTAACATCCGAATATGAATGTCATAGGCCCAGCTGCGATGTTCGGCAAGCTTGAGAGCGTTGCCTCCAGTTCTTGAAGTGTAAAAGGACATTATATGTTCTTCTCGAGAGATGAAAAGTCCATCGGGTACTAACTCTTGGCTGACTTTGAGGAAAGAAACGAGGGGCATAGGATGGGAGCCCCTCGGGAAAATACGGGCCAGATGTGTGGCAAGTTCAAATGCAACGTCGAGAGGGATTTTGCTATATCAACACCAGTGAACTGTTAGAACAGGCAGCCGGGTCAGGAGAGTATTTACCATCAATTCCTCACTTTTTTCCAGACTGCACTATAGAGAAGCAGAGAGGTGATGTGGAAAACATAGTTCGCAACAGTGCGTTTAGCTTCACGGAGAACGGCGAGCGCGATCGCACGCTTCTGCTTAAAAATCAACAAGTTCTCAGCGGTTCTATTGTACGGTACATGCCCATGCAGCACGTTTCAAACGTACTGCACGTAGCACAAGCAGGAAGGAGACCACAAGGGACGCACTTTGAGGAAAGCCTGCCTGAGGTTTGGGGTTTATAGAATGAGGAAGCTGCGGTAATAAAACTGATGTCGAGAAGATGTGTAGGAGATCATCATTGGAGGATGAAGATGACTCCACTAAAAGCAGTGAGGTTGTGAGTAAAGATCCCAATTTGCCCGATCAAATGCCAGCGAGGGCTACGGGAAGGTGGTGAATAGGAAGAGAAGTAGAATGATCGGAAAAATGATCGCTGTCATGTAAGTCTGGTAGATAACAGACAGGTGAAGTCTAGTGAGTGGGAGGAAGAGCAGACTGATAGATCGATGCAAGAGGAGAGTATGAGTACGAGGATCTAATGGGTGGGAGTACCGTTATTTAAAACAGGGGAGGGGTGAGAGGGCAAGAAGCTCCACTGAATGCCACGGTGAGTCACAATGAGACCCCCCCAGAGGAGTGGTGGGCATTAAAATCACCAAGTAACAGAAGTGGATGGTGGTAAGATGAAACACGAAAGGCCAAGTTGGGTATAAGAAAAAGCTCGAGAAGGAGGAGATATAATGAACATATTGTAATACCATTATCAAGTGGAAATACGGGCTGCAGTGTAATGCAGCGAGCGGAATGGACAAATAGTTGACAGAGTACGGAATATCATTCGTAAAGAAGGGACTTTCATTTTAAAGGTCCATCTGAGAAAGGATCCGAAGAATACAATAAATTATAGCTGAGATAGGTTGGAAAACAGCCGAGTTATTTTGTTCTTAGTATTAGTCAGCTAAAGCACCAACAGGGAAAAACCTGGAATGCAACATCTGAAGCTCACCCCGATTTACCTGGGCCGCGGATATTCCCTGTAACTAGGCCATGATTGGCGATGAGAAAATATCAGGAATCTGTAGGTTAAGGCACGTACGGACATAGAAGGGTTAGAAAAGTCAACGTGTGGTGGCATTGGAAGATGTTCAAGTAGCGAAGGAAGAGCGTTGCGAAGAATGGGGTTTGTGAAGATGGAAGGAGAGGGGACGAGATGGAAAAGGAAGTGAATCAGTGTCCATTGAAGGTTTAGTCTCTGCAATATATCTGAAAATGGCTTCAAGTGTTTTGAATTCAAAGATGTATGGGAATCCATATTGGAGTTAGAGGAGGAG